AGTAAATCTAAAGCCTTTTGTCTGTTAATTAACATGTAGGACTTCATTGTGTCTACTTGGTATCTGGAATATATGTGACGTGCTGTTGTGCTGCCGAATAAATATGAACCTGTCAGGTGTAGACTAATATCAATTTCTTTCGGAAACCTGCTTCTTTTTTTCCCCTGTCCAATCGCTTCTGAGCACACCTGAAAATCAGTAAATGCAGCTGCAGTTAATAGGAGTAGGAAATTTGTTTAATTTAGATTGTGCCTTTACACATACTCCTTGATACAATACGACAAGGGTCACAGCCGGATAGGTCTTGGGCCTAATTCATCTATTAATTCTCGTCGCAAAATTGACTTCTTTGAAAACCAAATAAGAAACACTCGTGTCTTTCAAAAATTGTCGCACTTCTGTTTCTTCACCCAACTTTCCAGATAAGTATATATATGTGCACAAGCTTCATAAGAAACTGTTGTTGCGTATGCATTGTTTGACTAGCTGAAGTTCTTTTCACAGTTTCTTTTGTGAGCATAATCCCTCTGACGTCGATCAACTTTCCTTGCTTTTGATTGGGAGGAAATTATTAAAGTATTTTTCCGTGTATATACCGTCGTTGATTGAACCAAATTGATCGGTCTCTATTTGGCTCAATCAACTGCGGTATAATACAAGCAATAATACTAAAACTATACCCATCGCACAAGAAGTAGCTGTCGCGGCTTAGAAGTCTAGTGGATAACGCTCTAGCGTTTGAAGCTATCAGTCCCGAATCCGAGTCCCGGTGGGAACAAATCCTGGATTCCACTGCCAGCCACTACCCATGACTGATCCATATATAATGGAAACTGTTAAAGTTGAAATAGTGTTCGCTGCATGTGGTTTTTCGGTGAATGCTCGTCTTTATTGTCCCATCTTCATTGTGTCCCTGGAACAATTCGAGAAAATTCAGCTGTTGCTTCTCTTCAAGCATTATTTTTAACTAAGTATCATGGTGTACATTTTTGAAATTTCGGGACACCTTTGCTATTTGAACGTTTTCATAGCTAATGGAGATATCGTTAAAATAGGTCAATTAAAACATTTTTTACCGATTTCAGGTTTTAGGGTGGTGTTTTCTAGGTGTGACGTGAAAACGTCCGCAGTTCCTAGCTCAGGTGGACTTCCTGCAGTCACTCCATCAGTTTGTTTATATGTGATTGCGGTGAAGTGAAATTGGACATCTTTATTACACAGAAGATGAAGACTCTTCATATCCGTTTTTGTTAATGGGATATATTCTGCGTATACACAAAAGACGTCCATTGTTTCAAAAAGGTTTATGCTTGTGAATAAAGTGGTTGTGCTATGTTGACGTGAATTTATTCAAAAATTTGAGTTATTTTATTCTTTCAGAAAAAGTGTGATAGGCTTTCAAAGCATGTGTTTATCATGCTCCGCATCACGTATTTTAACATTGCTTACAATGATAATTTATCTATTAATGTCGTATGCAGCTAATGAGAATCGCACAAAGTAGAATTAAATAACCTTATTCTGAAAGTAGTGTTTTCACTGTGCTATGCAAAATACTTTTTTATTGTCTAAGCAGAGAAACTTGGTGCTAATGGTATGGATTTACCATCAGTCGATCACGGTCCTGTTTAGTCTATTGATGAGACGGGCTACTACTTACTCTTTGTGAAGCTGCACTGAATACGACGCATAGTCTGGCCGTAATTATGCTAACTAGCAGATGACAAAGTTTAGTACACATGGTATATAAATATTTGTATATATATATATATATATATATATATATATCCTCACCTTTTTCCTGTCTTTTAAGTGATCCTGAACACAGCTGACTTAAAAATACTTAGGTCAAAAAATATTGTTATCGACAAACGTATGGGGTTCACTATTGGTTCCTCTCCCAGCTGATTACTTCATGGTCAGTTCGAACAGCAGTAAACTGCATCTACTGATCAACCAGTTGCATGTATATAAGAGATACATGGATGACACTTTCATCATCTATGAGAAGGATAGTAACCTTGAAGAAATACCACGAAAGTTCAGTGAATGTCATAAGTCAATTAAATTTGTCATAGAAACTGAAAACAACACAGAATTCTACCTTCTGAACGTTCTAATGAGAAAACACGACGGTTCCCTGTGGAGATTGATTTATAGAAAACAAACCTGGAATGGTCAACATACGCATTTTAAAAGCTGGGTTCCACTAGTCAGAGAAAGAAATCTAATTCATTCATTATGCATACGAATTAGAAGAATTTATACGGATGATGCAGTAAATAAGGAACTGGAAATACTTCGAAGAGTCATAGTGGAGAATGGTTATCGTTCAAGATTCCTTCAGAGGAACATGATGCCTAAGAATTTCAAAGAAGAAGCTCATACGGCTCCAAGGAAGACATTGTTTATGAATATTGGATTCAAGACAGATACATTGACGGAAATGCTGAAGAATCGACTGTCCAGAGCACTGAAGAAGACCTTTTCCGCCCAGCTTCAGATTGTTTTCTCCAGTCAAGAACTGATTCGAAGGTGTGTAAATGATAAACTACTGCTTTGAGCCACCTCTACATGGGTTTAACAATCCACCTGATGTTGTGGAGCCGATTATGTAGGCCGTACAAAGCGTGTTTTGTTCATATCCATCTTCGAACACTATCCTACATGGCTGTCCACAAGACGGTGTAAACCTACCAACAGCTCGATTCCTGAACATCTGGTTATCTCTGGTCACTGTGCTCTATGAGTCTTCTTGCAAAGTCATCTATAAATTGAAGGCAAACATTTCGAAGCGAGTATGTCTCCGTCAGCTAAACACACGGAGTTTCTGGCGATCCAGCACCACAAGCCTGCTCTTTTTGTTCAAAATAGATACATTCAATCTCTAATTTAGCCTTGATCGTAATCTCCCCAAGACGGTTTATTCATTTTAGTGTTTATTTACTATAATCCTATGAGCAGTTTTTGATGACCCTAATTTAACCTTCCATCTGTTATCACCTTGTGACTTTATCGACTGTTTTTGATGACCCTGTATTGACCGATTAGCCATTAGTGGATGTAAATTTTTGTAACTATGTAAAGCTCTTGAAAGTGACTCGTCCAAATAAAGTCTTCTTCGCTGAATTTTCTTTTAGTGGTTATTGATTCGGCTATTTAGTTGTGTGATAAACTAGAGCTCTGATAAACTTGGAACTGACATGCGTACCAGGCTCGATATTATCGGCAAACAATGTCAAGGATAGTTCCCTGAATGGAATTCAAAAAGTGAAATGAGCTAATTCTTTCTTTATGTTTGGCTATTAACCAAATGGTACTGTTGCTTTGAAGTAAAGTATTTCAGTATTTTCAGTATCAGTACTAATGATATTACTTGTGTGTAAGTACGGTGTCAGCTGGTAACTAATACTACACTTCTGGCTCTAGTACTGACTGGTATTTAATACAGGCGCTGCCACTGCTTATTCCAACTACGAAGATTTTAATGAAGTAACTTCCTTACTAATCGACACCATTTTTCTAAAAGTTATCAGTCATACTGTGTAAGTCAGTGTTGATGTATGCCAACACTACATCTCAAATTCTTTAATTTTAAAAAAAGTTACTGATTTATTTCTTTACTTCAATACTTTCTGGAATTTATGACTCTACATTTCAACCTAAGTTTACTTAAATGAAGCTAACTGTTCAATTAAGCCAACGTTTACTTGAATAGGAATCAGACAATAAATACACACAGAACTTGGTATTACCAAGTAGTGGTTCAAGTTGTCACTTCTAACATGACCACATGAAGATATTAGGCTAAAAAGAATAAAACATAGCGTAACCAAGAACAGAAGAAATATTTCAGACTATAAAAAGACGAGTTAAACCAAATAATGGATAAGATGGAGTCAGACTATGGGGTGCATATGAGCTACAGATCTATTCTTAGCTATGTCATTCAGTGAACAAACAATGATTTCAGCTGGAAGCCGACATTGCTCAATCCAATAGTCAAAGACTTCATGAAATGATGCCAACTTTCAGTCAAGTCACTTATTCCTCTAACTAACCGGTTAGGAGTATTGCTGTTCAGAGATCCAAGAAAACTGTCAGCATTTTTGTGATCAGCGTTAAGAAATCACCTTGTAATAGTCTCCAGGGATTGCTAACTTATATTAGACAAGGAAACATTCATTCGATGAACAATGATTATAATGTCCAATAACAATAACTACTTCGCCTTAAATATCTATTCCTGAAACTGTACGCGAACAAACACCATTACATATAAATATACTACTGAATAGCACAAGTAGTTGAGAACCGCTTACTCTGATCTGTAGACTTCTCTGGTCAAATATAAGTGATCTAAACATAATTGGACAGCTGGAAAACTATTCAACTGTGAGAAATGCTAACGTGGATTCTGTAAGTTTTAGATCCTTTGCAAGTTGATTATCCCATTTAAGGTGTACCAACCCATCGCAGTCAGCTAACCAGATTCAAATGATCTGACCTAAATTTTTTCGGATACTTCACTAACGAGCTTGATCCTAAATGAGCAAAACGGCCGTTCGGTTTTCAGACCACTCCAATCTGACTAATGACCAGCCTTAGTGATCCTCAACTTCTCAAGCCGTTCAGTAGTATAATACGATAGTTCACTGTGACCTTGTCCATGTGGTTTCCCTCAGCAGTGAAAAATGTCAATATGGATCGTGTAATTTGCAAATTATTTACAAACTCATTATCCGAAACATTTGTAGTTTAAATCCCGCCCGAATTGATGTTTATGCACAATCGTAGAGACATTTGGAACTGCCTTTTAATCCAAACAAACACATGGTATGTGTTACAGATTGCACATTTCAACAATACTTGGTAAAAATGAAGCGTCCACAAAGTAAATATGTAACCTAGAGGTCTTTTAGCATTAGATTACTCATATCTCCTTTAGCAGTAACCAAACATCCACTTAAGACAGTCAGTAGTGCCAGCCAAAAAATATTTTTTTCTTTGGTCAAAAAATATATTTTGAATACGGAACAGAAACTATCAAATAAATCATATGTTCAATAAACTTCACAGTATTTCTCCACAAAAAAGAATGTCGTTCATAATAGAATCACGTGATTTATTGATTGTATCCAAGACTAACCGGTTCATTTAAAAACAAGCTACACCCTCTTCTGCTTTCACACTGGTATATATATATTTATTTATTTATATAGTTATGCAGTTAATCTCTGCCGACGGACGTAAAAGAACAAAAGTATGGATACAATGATTACCAAAATAGTGATTATTGGAAGTAAAGTAGCAAGAGTGACAGTGAGTGCATGCTGATTATCTTTTGAATCACCACTATTATACTTATAATCATTATTGAATTGATTTGTTTCCTCCCAACGACCATTAATTTTCCTTATCATATTACCATTTGCATCATGTACTGCATCTGAACTTGAGCCAATGAAATTGTTTGAGTCAGCTAATTTAAACAAATGTGGATCCTTTGAGAACTGTTCACAAAATGAAAACAAATAAATGAATATTTACTGTATGTTTTATTTCATAATTCATAATAATGATCAAATATCACTTGAGTTTCATGCTTGAGAAATCTATCGAAAAAAAGTCGATAAGTACGGATAATGTCTTACTTTTTTACTCCCATTTACAAGTTTGGGGAAATTTATATTCATCACCTCTAATCACTTAATATCAAATGAAATACATTGAACTGTTGTGTTGCTATTAGTCAAGTTACTTCAATATAACCCAGCAACTTGACAGAATATCGTATTCACCTAATATAGTAAGAATAAACATAGTGGATGCAAAAGACAGATATGAACAAGATAAGTGTAATAACAATAACAATAATCATTTCATTCCAGACATTAGTTTTGAATATACTGTGGAATTCGCAGTGCGATATTTCAACAGATTTGCTCGTTGTACATTATTTTCAAAGTAAATAGCGATTGTAGTTAAATAATGTTAGTAATAATAGTATGCTAAGCACTAATACATAACGACCAGTTGTTCTTAGGTTATCGTCTGTTTTGTGGGTACGTTGTTGCCTGGAGGGACATATAGATAAACACCCACAGGGATTATTCATCCACTTTCTGCTAACTATCCCTGTACTAGTTATGTGATGAACTGTTGTGAACTCAAGAGCCCATCAGCTACTAAGGTGATATTTTTTGTAATTTCGTTATTAACTCGTGTGACGATAAGTCGAAGACATTTTAAAAGTGCGCGAGAACCTGTTTCATGATTTGTTGCCATTTGAACAATTAAAACAAACACAAAAAAAGTAATTTGACGTTATATGTACGATTAAAACATTTGTGCAGCCCAAAATCTTAAGAAGAAAGAAGTGAACTTATAAACCTACGTTTGCCTTACATAAAGTCACTCATTCATTTTTTAGGCTGGGTGGTCAACAGCTGTTGTGACAGTACAAGGTTCAATCAAGAACTGGACGCAGTTGCTTGGTAAACAAATAACCGAATGCTAGAAGACCTGTATTTCATCTGCGTAGTGCTGCATGATGGACAGGAAATACATTCATATGATCAGTGCTTCCATAGCCTAGGTGAAATGTTGTATTGACAGTGTTGCATAATACTGGATGATGTTATGATTCGATGTCGATGATGTTAAAAAGATGCAATACTTCCGTTGCAAATCTTGTAGGTAATGGTCACGGAAAATAACTATACAAGTACTGATTGTTCTGTTACTTTCTGCCTTTACCAAGGGAACGAAACTTGCATTTTCATATATGCACTGCAGTATAGTGCATTATCAGTGTTTAATCTTCTGCAGTTTTAATTCAAACCACTTGTGATTGTACAGACTGTGGCTTCTTTCATCTATAAAAACCCACTGGTATTGGCAAAAATGGAGATTCTGGTTACCTGTGGTCAGTTGACAGCAAAATAAAATTGTAATCTACAGAGGATTATAAGTTTGATGTAACAGAACTGTAGCTTAGTTAGACAGCTGTCAGTCTCCTGTCCAGTGTAAGTAGGTTCGAATCCTATTATCCACAATAAGAATTATTTACCACCCACCCCTGTCCCGAATTTAGTAACTCATCAAAGTGAATAGCTATTATGAAATTCAGTACACATCGCACGTTTTCACATGAAATTTATAATATGTTAAAAGTAATTTCACGGTGTCTAATGTCTTACTCATGGACTATTCAGTGTTTTGGATCAGAATTTCCCGCCAGTCAATCTAGGAGAAGTGGGAAAGATTGAGGTGCAAGGTTGGAATAAAGCAGTTGAATTTTAAGAGGCTATCAATGAAGTTGGAACAATAATGCCAGAGTGATTAGATTGATAACCAGTCCCTTAAGTCAGCAGAAAACTAGTTGTAATTAACAATAACTACTATAATGAATCCGTAATTTAGCTCTGACTTACTTCGACTGTAAGAAGCCATCTGAATTCAAGGATAAAAGCATGATGTTTATACTCAAAGACTCAGTAGATAAATTCCAACTACATTGGTGTCCTTGTATCCTTTATTCGTCCTTTTTGTCCTTAGCTTTTCAGTAATGATTACAAGTCAGTGATCTTGACTTAATACCATCTTATTACTATTTTAAACTCATGTTTATTACTTTGTGCAACCGACTATCACTGTATTTCTGGAATTATTATCTTGTTTCGTTGATAGCAACTTAGCATTTTACGGGTTTTTCCAACGTGACATTTCAATCTCTCCTACTGCCCTCTAATGAACTTATGGCTTCAAATTCTGATTCATGTTCACCGTTGTTTGTTTCATTAGTTTACTACTGATAGATAATAAGTAATGTCATTGATCAGGTCCCTTTATATCTCTAGCGAAAACAAAGAAACACTGTTGGCTAGTTATGTATTTCCTACTGTATTCTTTACAGTCACTTACTAACACAGAGAATATACACAAATATTACAAACTATGATGAGGAATAAGGTGTAGAGCTCAACAGTCACACGCTTCCAAATGGAGTTCATGAAGTTTTAGTAAGAACTTGTGACACGTGGGGCAAACCAAATCGGATATGAGGATGATCTCACTGTATCACAGTCTGGGAAAGCAATTAAATGTGTACTTTTGAATCCCAACTCAGTGGCTGAATGATAACATGCTTGCCATGAGAGCTTACGGTCGTAGGTTCGAACCCTAGGGGTACACAGATGAGTGGTTTTATATTTGGATGAAACATATCTCTAGCACTCTCAGGCGTCCGATAGTTGCCCAGCAGGTGTTAATCTTATGATAAGAACTGCTTTAAAATAACTTATTTGTCTTTTTTGAGTAGAATTTTTCCGAAAACCAAAACACCAGTCATTATTAGGGAGAAGTGATACAACCTGGTTAAGAATGACATGAATTGATTAACACACTACCACATGAATGTAGTAGAGTCAAAACTTTCTATCTTGTTTCAGAGAGACGAAAATTGTAACCAACTCGGTGACGAATATTTTTGGTGATATTCATTTCCTGCAGAACTAACTTTAATTTCTTTTAAAGCTTGATTGTTACTACTTCTGCAGTTCGAGGGAGCCCAAACTGAATAACTTTTGGCAAGCTGATAGGAACACGTTATAGAATGAAAAACGACTCATTCATATCCACTTTATGGTTTGTTCCAACCAAGTGGGCTAATATGGAGCTGGTAATGGTCTTTATCATGCTGGAAGCTGATAGCAACCACGGAAAATTAAATTCGAGAGCAGCGACCGACGTTACATAACTCCTCAAACTATACAGATAACTGTAAAAAGTGATAAAGAAGTTATCGGGAAAGTTATCCTTTCTCCATTCAAATCGCTTTCGAATTGGCCTCCTTGGTAAATTTAAAAAGATTAATGAGAAGACGAAGATTATCTGAAACACATGTGATGTATTCTATCATTATTATTTTCCCTTGGGTTCTTAATGGAACATATGGCTTCAGTAGCACGCCTCCATTCCACTCCGTTCTCTGTAGTCTTTGCAACCTGGCTCTACCACTGCCCACAGACTTTTGTTTCCTCCTCACATGATCTCCTCCATTTTACCCTCAGCTGGGACGCCCAACTCATCGTTTTCCCTTTGCATTCCACTCGACGGCCTGACCTGGCGCGTGATGTCCCCAATTGGTCCACTGTTTCCTTAGTTTCTCTTCTTTCGTAATTAAATTTCTGCCCTCATCTTTTATTAGTTTCATCTGTGTTGATCTCTTCCCAGATAGTAACCTGGTTATTTGACACAACGTCGTCAGGTCTCTGTCTCTCCAACCTGCAGCCTGTTCTGCTTCACTTGCCAGTGTGTCATGGAAGTGTATTTTGTCTTTGCGTGCACTCTTCTTCACTTCTTTGTCCAGTGTTTTATACGTTGTACTCAGTTTTTCTTTTCGTTGTGCATCCTTGCACTGGTTTATCTTCTGCTTCACCATCCTCCTCTTCTCTATCAGCTTCCATGTGTCCGTCGAGATCCATTCCTTGTCCTGTCTTGTTTCTTCTTCCTTCCTAATAGGGTTATGCAGGTTTCTTTCCACATCCCTTTTAAAGAGTGCTCTTCCACGCCTGAACCTTCAGAGATGTTGCTCAATATTTCCCATTTCGTTCTGATGTCTGACGCGAAGATGTCCTTTCAGTTTTGTCCTTCATTTTTGTTCTAGGTGTGGAACTTGAACTATGGTCTATCACCAATTTCTTTGAAGACTTCCATTTGATTTTGAAGTTTCCTTGCACTAGATAGTGAGTGGTGTGAAGCTACATCTGCTCTCCTTCTTGATCTTGTCTCCAGTAGACTGTGTCTTCACTTTCTTTACATTGAAATGAAGTCAATCTGATTCTTAGTGTATCCTGGTATCTGGTGAAATCCATGTCACTTTGTGATTATCCTTGTGCTTGAACATAGTGCCTCCAATCACCAAATCATTGAATGCGCAGAAATCTGCGAACAGTTCTCCATTCTCATTCATTACTTCACGGAGTGCTTCTCGATGCATGATCAGTTCTCCTCCTGTGTTGTCCGCTCCCAGTTTGCCATTTATGTCACCCATTGGAAGTTCGATGTCGTCAACTGGGGTGGGGTCTTGTCTATTACTGATTGCAGTTGTCTGTAGAATTCCTCCTTCTTCTCCTGATCTCCATTAGTTGTAAGTGCATAGCGTAGCATTGTATAATTGTGACTTTCCTTCCTTTTGAGTTGAATCTTGCTTTCATGATCCTGATGCTGGAGGAGACTGGTTCCCAACGCATGAGAGAAAGTCTTCTGTGCTCCTGGGGAAATCACGATAGCCCCTCCCTCAGTGTGCTCGTGGTTGTCATCTGGGTGGCAATATTGGAGTAGATTATTGACTATGCAGTTGACAGTTGAGAGAGTCCACTTCCACTCCGTATACTTTCTCAAATTCCAAGCACTTCTATCCCATACCTTCTCATCTCTTTCGTAATCTCGGTGGCCTTGCCAGCCAGCCTCAAACATTGTGCGGAAATTCCATGTCCCCACGTTTACTTTCGCTTTCATCGAGCGAAGAAACATCGGCCAATTGGCTTCCCGAAGGCTTTCACCAACCGGCGTTATTTGGTCTCTCCGATTCCAGTGAGGAATAAGTTTGTTTTCATTTTTTATATTTTGTTTGTGCTTTGAAGTTTCTTTAGCGGTTAGATTTGTTTTACGGGGTAGGATTGCTAGCCCTATGCCCCACCTTCCCTCGTTATCCGGACTTAGAACCGGCTAGTAACTAGTGTACTAGTTAACCAAGCGAAGTTTTGTGATGTATTAGTACTATACATTTCGAACAATCTGATCACACATGGACTTGTCAAACTATTTATAAAACATCAAGGTCACCACTGTAAGGAAAACGAAGTCCATGTTACAACATAAACCAAAACAACACATAAATGACTGCATCGCAGCCCACTATGTTTATCAGTTTACATGTAAGTATGAACATACATATACCCGGAGATGTAATTGTGATACGCAGTTAAGGATGCTTGAACATGTACCTAAGTGGCTTCAAAAACAAATGACGTCAATAGTGTCGATAAGTGGTGACAAACGTCCATCTTCACCTATTACTGAACACATGCTAGAAACTAATCATAAGGTGAACTTGAAAGCAGTTTATAAAGTACTATAAAAAGTGGTCAGGGCTGACTGCTAATAAATTCAACCTCCTTTTTATGTTTGCAAAAATTCTGTGCCCTTCCTATTACTATGTTTCCTATTGACTTCATTGGCCCTTTTCGTAAATGTTCATATAAATAGTTCAACAAGTCTATGTGTGATCAGATTGTTCAAAATGTAAACAGCACTAATACATTACATCTGTTTCAGATAATCCTTGTCTTCTCATTATACTGATAAAATCCCATTTCTTTCTATTTAACCCACTTAACAATTTTATAGCTTAAAATCCGTCTGATATTTTCTGTTACAAAAAGAAAACATTTTCATTATTGAAATAAAGTTGATCAACTAACGTAAACTGAAAAAAATATAATCATATGCTCAAGTATAAATTCGAACAAATGATAAAAATTGACACTTTCAAAATAGTGTTTATTTTTTATCATTAAAAACCGAAATCAATCTAAACCTCGCACATGAGTATCTTGTTTTCTGTGTTGAAATGAAAACATTAACTGTTTTTAAAAAAATAATAAAAACACATTAACGAATATCACTTTTCTCAAGAAAATAACAAATTACGATAACTTACGATTTGTTTTTAGTCCAATTACCGGTACAAGAAATGAACATAAAAGTGATATTGTGCAATAAAAATTTCACCTTATTTTGTGCATAAGCAATCGGTGATGAAATCGATTAGCATAATCTTTAAAGTCTACACCACCGCATAGTTTGGTTTTAATTATGTACCTCTCTACTGCTAATGAAATACCATTACCCTTACTAACTAAGGGAAGTAAATTTCTAGATGAGTCCATTGACTATTTTACTAACTTAGTTAAAATAAGCCTAAGACAGGCTGACAGTCGGGGAAACTTGTCGTGAATATCCAAATCTCGATTAGTACTCACTGGCTCTACTGTTTTCAGCTATTCTAAGTTATTAGTTGTTCCGTACTTTCTTTACAATGTATATGCATTACTTTCATAGGTCGGATACATGAAACATTTACAGATAGTTTGTGATCTGCATGTTTGTGATGAGTGTGGCTGGGTTGTCAAGAATATGATTCGAAGCATTTTGCATCTGTTTCATCCTGTTTTGAGACTGTATAACAAATTGATAGGATTGTAACCAAGTAAGTGAGCAGTAATTTGCTCATCGTACAACCTGATGGCTATAGACTTGATTCGTCACACAAGCAGTGGGTGCGCGCAAATCAAGATGATACATCTCTCCAGTGCTCCAAATTCTTCAATAGTTCTAAAACTATCATCCATTAAATGATTAAAATTACTTTTTAACTATGAACTATCTAGTAAATATAATTCCTCAATAATACACATTCATCCAGTGCATTAAAACTGAAAACATGTGCAAAGATTAAGGTAAAAACATTCTGAATCTGTGCATATGTATACCTCTCAGTGTATTGAATTATTCTCTTTTGTAATTTATCCAATTAGTGCACAGTTGACATTACTTACTTCAACAAGATCAGATCTGCCTCGAAGATTATCTGGGATGTGGCTGACTTCTGCAACTCTGTATAAATCTGTGATAATATGTTGCACTGTCTGAATAATTTTGTTTTATTTATTCACTGTCAGTAGAAAAGTAGTTTTAAAAGTAAGCAAGATGTACAACCAAGGGATCTTGACGAATTCCTATTTTCTTACTTTCGCCAACAAACATGTTCTGTATGTAGCGTTTTTATTCCTAAGTTAATCAGTCAGCTAACAAATATTTTATGTTATGATGGTTGCTAACATATCATCGTACCATGTACTTTTGCTGACAATAGAAGGAAAAGTACAATCTGATTTTATAAACTAATTGTATATCATTCATAGGAACAATGATCAATAGTTGACCGAATATTATAATATATATTTTATAACATTTTGAATTAATGTGTTATGGTAGTCAGTCTGCGATGTTGCATGTATGTGTAATTTTACGTGTAACTGAATCTTTAAATCTGTACACTGAAGCATTTATTTGTCTAAACATAATCGCATAGAAAGGCTGTACATTGTGTACTACCGATGACATGAGTAGACAGAAACTCCTTGGACTTCAACTAATCGGCTGTCTGATTTGAATCATTCTGCTTACACTTTTGACGAGCTTTTCTGCTTCCTCAAGAAAATCAACAATTGTCAAGTGTTTAGATCACCTCAGTCAGACCAGCAAGCTTGCCCAAGGATAGATCGCAGTGGTTTCCAACTACTTATGTCAACCAGTGGTGTGTAGAATACACTTTCCTTTACTGTATTCACTCCATTATCGGGGTTCAGTCAACCACAATTTACGGTCGTCTCTAAAGGAAACCATGATTGAATCTCCTAAGTAAGCTACACTGAATTTTATAATTATCATCATGGACTGACACTCTCGTAGTGAATCTACAGATAACAGTTGTTGAAGCCTAAATCACTGATGCACCATGCAGTTTACATCACTTTCTGGAACTTCTTAATGATAACTTTACAGCTTCAAATTAATGCTTTCATGGAAAGATCTGGAATGCAGACCAATTTTATGTGCGTGATTTCATGCAAGTTCTTCTCCTTATAAACGACATTCATTAGGGCAAAACTACAAGAAGTTCACTTCATTTCACGGATTTTCATCAACCGTGAACAACATAAAACAGTTTTCTTTCTACATCAAAATGTATTAAAAAGCGTTACTTGTTTCACTGACTTCCATAGGATAGGGGAACATTGTGAGTTGTGGGGTATTAAAGTAATATAAGTTGTTAGTTAATCTAACGATTACCAGGAAAGAATTTAAACAGGGGAGAAAACAACTTAGATGTTCATCATCCTGTCTATAGAGCATATATATGATATCGATAACCCAAAATAGTTAAAAGTAAATAATAAACTAATGATACTGACAAAGATGGAAGTTATGCACTTTAGAATGATAAAAATTGTGGTATTATAAGGGTTAACATGAATGTTGAAAATGCTATGACAATATAAACAGGTGTTCACACAGACAAAAAGGCCTGAGCTTAGAGAGAATAATAAGGCCACTTAACACTTGAAGATGAAAGCAGTAGATAAAAATGGGTTTGGACGTGAATATAGTCGTGGTCTGAAAGGGTTGACAAACATAAAATGAAAAAGGAAAGAAGAGCATTGAAAAAACTATGGATAAGGTTATACATTAAGTCTTTCCTGAGCAAGGTGGGGATAAAGGCTGCACAAATTTCTTTTGAATACAGAGTATCAGATTGTTGTTGATTCATACTTGCAATTTCCAGTTGCTGCAGTGGGTCGAACTGCTTGACACAAGTGGCGGCTATCGTGTCCCAGTGGACTAGATAATGATGCATCGGCGTTTGAAGCGATGAGTACTGGGTCCGAGTTTCAGTGGGAAGAACACCACTCACTGGATTGCAAGTACATCCTGCTAACGAGCCCCCAATAGGATAAAACATGCATCCTGAATTTCACCACTAGTTATCAAATAAACTACAAGGGTTTCAGAGTGCTCACTGAAAGTGTTTAACCCTATCCCATCAAACCTTTCCAATGGAGTTCCAACTCAGAATTTGAAGGAACAATCTGAAGCTTTGCATCTAGAAGAAATTTGTGCAGCCTTGACTTGTGGAAAGAATGTAGAACCTCACCTATAGATTTTTAAGACGCCTCACTTCCAGTTTTGATTTTATTTTTGTCACCCCTTTCACACCACTACTATATTCACATTTAAGCCTGATGATACTAAATTACCTGAGTTTCCTTTTGGTTTGACGGTCCTGGTGATTGTCACACGAGGAAGATATCTGCGTTCACGTAAGCACTTCTTTATTGATCTCTCTCTACTGTCGTGATTGTCTTATGCTTAGTTCTCTAATATTATCACTTTACTTTTGTTCAATGCAAAGTCCAACTATCTGATTGTTATTCATCTTTTATTTCTAGTTTGCTGATATTTTACTATGCTTACATTATCTGAATTAAGTTTGCGCACTGGATTTTTCTTTTCATTCTTATTCAACTCTCTTCACATGAATAGTCCTGATAATTCTAGCTACTACTTTCTATTACTTGTTTCAACCGCTCAAAAATAATGATTTAATAATACAAAGTGGAAAGAATAATGGTGTGATTTTGACGCAAACTATTCCAATACAGATTTGGATCTTCGTGTTTATCTATGCAGCTTTTGAGAAAACTAATTTGTGTACTTCCTATAGCAAGCTTGACAGAAAACTTCAAAAACCCATGGAGTCCCTTCACTATCATAGGGCCATTGCTCAATTTTTGTCGTCTAAAGTTCGACCTCAATAACTTCCGCAAGTTTTGTAAAGAGTAGAAAATCAGAAGTTGATTGACTTACTGGTAATACGAATGGTGGTCGCTTCAGTTGACGTTTTCTTTGTTCTTGTAATAAGTTTGCTTGAACACAATAGTTAACCTGTAGATTTGTAGGTGAATAATAAGTATGCAATAAATAAAAATTCTACCATTCAATCTTTGAAGGTAATCTTTATAAAATGAACCATCCATTTTAGGCACAAAAAAAGAAAAAGTGCAGAGAATTTCTGCTTCTTGTCGACAAAGAAGTTACAGAACCAAGGCAGATAGTAAAACCCATCTTCGTCGATTATATATATATATATATATATATATATATATATATATATATATATATATATATATATATATATCGATGAAGATATTCTGCACTAGGATGTATTCTCACCCTTCTAAATTTCCAATGTTAAACTTCACAAATATCCTGCCTATTCATTCTATTCACATTTCTGCACACCTCAAGTAATTATTATCTTTCAGACTAATACTTTTGACAGGTGCACGCTTTATTAAACTGTTTGAAATGCGTTGCGTAAATATATTGTACAATTCAGGCAAATTATGTCTTTTTATTGTTTTGTCGAAAAGTAGTCTCAACTAATTCTCTCTCTTAAGAAATGATATTTCATTTATTCCCTAGGTAGGTGGAATGAGAGAATATTCTACCCTAATTACTGTAATTTATTGGCACCATCCAGATGGACGACTGATTTCACTACAGAATAGGAAATTTTATTTTTGGATTTAAAATATCACAAATAAGAAGGTTAATTGAGTCAGCGAACGTAATAAACTCCACTTTTCTGAACCAATGGTTAATAACGCTTCACTTTTGATCTTTGTGTTCAGAAGGAGACAGTGATTGACTCATCATTGAAAAAGGGGCATCATCTCATCTATCCCCATTTTTCAACTGTTTATTTTTGTTATTCTGATTTGTTGCAAGTGTTTTAAGCAGTCGAGCATGAATCTATTTGCTGATGTGTACTGGTTTCGTCGCTTTCATTTTAAGCTATCTGCTGAAGCTCTACACTCATCACTGTGCCAGTTGATAACTAAGTTTGCGATTCATCTTCAATCCTTATTCGTAACAGTAAAACTAGTTTGCCACTCCATAGCTCTCTCTCATAGGGTCTCGGATTATAGACAAAACCTAACCACTGTTGTTAGTAATGGGGGTAATCTTCATTTGATTTCGCCAACTCTTTCTTTAGAAAATTACATCGTTTAACTCTGTGCTAATATATAGATGTATACAATCAGGTTGTATTTTTGATTATTCTGAACTATAGTGACCAAGTTAGGAAACTCACCGTCATAGTGAGATTTGAATGATGTTAGCTGGTTGGAGACTTTCAGTGGAAAGACCCAACAAACGCCTCTAGCTAACTATCATTAAGGTTTATTTGGGCTCAACCACTGAATATCAGAATCTTGCACTATGTGGTATACATGTGTGTGTACTAAAAATTCCGATTCGAATTTACCAACAACCAGCTATTTATATTGTGAAGGATGTAGCGTGGTAGCGAAATGATTATTACTAGGAAATGGGACTGGATAATAATTAAATACTTGAAGAGCTTATTCATTGCGGAATGAATCAAACCAAGTCGGACGTGAAAACAAATACTAAACAGTGACAATGGATAAAGGTCGCACTATATCGCGAATTGATAGAAGTGAGAAAATGTGAACCATTGGGTTCCTACCTGGTGGCCTAGAGGTAACGTGTTCGTCACGAAACTTGAAGGTCCTAGGTTCGATTCCTGGTAGGATTATGGGCACGCGCTGCCGAGGAGACTCATACTGAGGCGAAACAGCTGACCAGTTCTTCCAGGTTTTTAGTGGTCCTCCCAATGACATCATTTCATGATGAAATCAACAAATCTTTACAAACCACTAAATTAAATTTAGAATAAATGTCCAAACAGAATCATCAGACCTGTAAGCCTTCGGTCGGTGTCGTAACAAGTATGGGTATACATATAAGTAATTGCTACTGTGAAGTCAGAATGAAATAAGCATGAAGTTGAATCGAGATTAAAACAGGTAGTGAGTACTATAGGAATAACAAACTACTCACCGAACGAGAAACGCAAAGGAATCAAAAGTGATTACATATAAAATAACCGTGGGAAGCATGAATGAAGCTGAGATAAAAACCTGGTTCACGACAAGGTTCAAACGAACAACCCTCTGACTACCGACCCAATAGTATACTGACCTGTCTCTAAGACCTGGTTTCTGTTGCTGTTTCTTCCTTATAGTTGCTTTATGACGTTATACCCTGGTAATCTTCATCTTATTGCATTACCATGGTTGTCTTATTAATAAATTCCTTTGTGTCATATTTATCCATTTTCTACTTCCACTTTTCAGATAAAATGCCTTAACAAGCATGTGTGTTCAAAATATGCGGTGCAAACACATCAGCTATCAGGGGGGTATACTTAGGTTTATTAAAACAAATATTAAATGGAACTAAGCTGTCACACTGTGTCCTATTCTTTCTTTGGCAGAGCGTTTTTTACCAAATAACAATAAATATTTGAATGTCTATAAATGCTGTAATGTTACAGCTTGGTTATATGTATGCATAAAATATTCCATCTCTTCCAACTGCTTATTTTGTTGGCTACAAACTATTCTTTCAGAAGTAACCGAGATCTAATGGTACAGTGTCAGTCGTAACTGATTTCTAATGCATACTCATTATTTGCCATCTTTTAGTCATATGTTTTGTTACTCATGCAGACTGAATTAAAAGAAACTGAAAACCCTAGAATAGTGAGTCAATAAGTCCAACTTTGTGTTCGTTCGATCAGAGGTCAACTCATCCAGTGTACGTGTACAGCCGGGTGTTAAAAGTTTACAACACGAACTTTCTTTCATTCAGTCTAAAATAGACACAAAATGCCATTGAAACTACTCCATTTACTAAAATTTACAACTCTCAACAGGAAAAACCGAATGGAAGACTGAATTTCAGCATTAAATATCGACTTTAAGGGAATTTTCATAATATTGGTATGAAGTTACAACATAATTAAAGAGTGAATTTGAATAATATCTCGCTTAACTCAATATATCTGCTGGTGATTTTTAGAAAATGTTCAACTCGTTTAATATCTAAATTTTGCAAGAAACAACTGGTTTACCTATGCACTGTAGATTAATCTACAGCATACAAATGAGTGAATGACTGACTCACTGTCCAAACTTAAGTTGAATAAAGTATCTCCACTTACAGTTAGGTATTCCTGAAGGAAATACATGACTCTTACCAAGTGCTTTGAATGCAAGATAAACTAAGGGTTAAAATGCAAAGCAGCAGCTAAGAAACCACATTACAGGCATAAATTTAAAATGGTTGCATGCTGTTATTTCGCAATTTCTGTGGGACGCAGCAGTTTTTACTGAGTAGAAAAAAACTATATACCCATAGGAGAAAACGATACATTTTCACAATGACTAGTGTTTTCGGTTAATCAACTAAGTAATGAGGCCAATGAAAAATAAAGAAGGTTTAAAGTTATCCAAAGATGCATATAATGATATGAAGATATAGCTTTGTAATAAAAATGCCGTCAAAATGGATGACTTTAAAGGCCACTCTAGCTATTGATGAGACAGTCAATCACATTCCTTTATTTTATCGAAAAGTTCTTTCCCAGGCGAAATATCGAAGCTTTATTGGCCATTTCTGGAATTGTTAGGGTGGCCTTTAAAGTCAGTCGTCAAAACCAATCGGAAATAATAAATACTATTCGCTCATCAGTTTCGATAAATACTTCAACTCCAACAGATCCTCAGTGTGTTAGTTGTTTAGTCGGTAGGTTTTACTTCAAATAAAAACGCTTATTGAAGGATTTGTTTATACAGATTTAAAGTGTTTTGATGAGTAGCAAAAACTGAGATGAACTGATTGTCTTATCTGTGTAAATGATATCTATTGATACGAGATGGGTTCTAGTCCCCGTTGGAACACCTTCATTTACTGGGGTGCAAATACATCTGTCTAACACGCATTATGCATTCCCCCGCTAGCCGCAAAGAAAACTATACTAAATGTGAATAGTAGTTGTTGGCAATTGACATTTTCAAGCGGTTTTCATCATTCATAGATATCCATTGAAGGACCGCTGAATGCATGCGATAACCGGAAAATTGCGTCCACCTGGTTCGAAACTCTTCAGTGGTGCAGACACATGGTCCTCCAAAAAGCTGAGCCTTAGATCGTCAGGATGTGCAGTGAACAGGTTACAATGCAACCACTTGACTGAAATCCCGTCGTTCACCATTTCCTACTTTTGTCGATTCACAATAGAGTGTGGTAATCATTGAAACTAGGAAGAAAAATGGTGTCCAGTTCTCTTAGGTTTTCAAAAGCTCTCCAACTGATCACACTCCGTAGTAAAAAGTGCTTGGAAATCAGTTAGTGTCTACCAACCATGAATTATATTAATAGTCATATTTCAAACAATAGTCTGGTACTCAATGAACATCAGGAAATGTGCCACGGAGTGATGTTTGGTTTTAAAAGTATTTCTTAGCTAAATTAGACCAGCCAACTTCTGGGACAGTGTAGAAGTATCTTCTCGAAAGAAGCCAATCAGATATGATGTAGCGCAGATTTTTCTTGATGCGTCTTACAACTAGGACATTTAGCCATAGGGAAAGGATATTTATTCAACTTCAATCAACTAACAAACTAATCTTCAAGTCTCTTGATTATAGAGAGGAAGTATGAAATGAAGCCATAATAGTTGTGGTCATGAAACGTCGTAAACTCAACTGTGGTATTCTTTACTGTAATAATGGGTAACGTGAGTATGGATTTCTGAAATCGCATCAGTCCCCTCAACTTCACCTTTTTGACAAGTGCAAGACAGAGTTTTAGGTCCCCCACTAATTGTCATCAACGGAATAATTGTCAGTCAAAAGTGACATTAGTCACTTCTTTCTAAACTACCTTGTAACCTTTTCATTTCAGTATACATCATAGGTGGTTATTAGTTTCAATATGTCTTTCAGTGTCTTTTCATCTTTTAAGAATCATAAACTAGTCGTTGAGGGAACCTTTAATTTTAATCGCTATAACTCTTGATCGAAAACCCTATGATTATTCACTTATTGGAAAATGATTGCATAAACTTAATTTTCAAAAGTCTTTGAGCATTCAAAGTGGTGCTTATAATACCATTGCAGATCAAAGATAAACGGAAATCATCGGTAGATTGATTTCACTATGCACATTGCTGGTCAGAGTTTTACATTACGTGATCGAATGTACTGAACACTGTTTTTTTGCAAATATTATCACATTCGGAAATTTTAGAAAAAAAGTTTCCAAAGATGATCAGAGTTGACAGAAAACACAGGTCGCAATTGAGATAAAATCGATAATATTCTGGTTACCCGTCCGAGGCTTCATCACCTCAGCCATAAGACTGTTCTGACCAGTTTTTACTGTCAATTCAAAAGTGTGCTTTTCCCGAATATAAAATGAGTGTCTATCATTTCTTATTCGGAGGTTTATCGTTCGGATTCTGTCGCGATTTGTTTTTTCTACTCGATTCAGTGATCTATGAATATGAAAACCAGCCTACTAAAAATGGTTGTGTAATGCCATTTAGTTAATGAAGTAAAAGTCCTTACTGAAGTCATTTTTATGTGGATAAAAAGGATGTAGGCGGAAATCTAGGGTGATAATGAGCAAATGGTCAAGTAAACTTGATAAGCATGAAAATGGAAAAAAACTCGAATGGTTGTAGTAACGTCGACACAGTTATCATTTGTATCTTGTGACTAAATCCAATACAGGGTAAACTGAGTGCTCCAAATCCTGCCATGACTCGGATATCAATTCAAATAAGTACAGTATCCTCGAATATAACACCCAAACTCCCAGCCAATGCCATTTCGGGTAGACTAGTTGAAAACTGTTCTTCTAAAGCCTAAGTTATTGGAAACTGTATAGCACTCAGTACAAACGCTTTTGCCATGATACTTATGATGAGTGTGTGTACTCTTGACAAAATAGATTATTCAATGGTTTTTGGCTTCTAATAAAAATGACATTGACTCTGTTAACGATTAGAATATTAGAAAAAAATCAGTATCCTTTCTTACTTGACATATATCTTCCATAGAAGCTAAATGTGCTGTATATCCAGTTGGACATCTTTTTGGCCAGAAGATTGCAAATAATTGTGAATAATCATTCTGCGTAGATTTCCCACTGAAGGGAATGATACTTTCTTCCCTTGATGTTGGTGAAGTCGAAAGACGTTTCTGTTGTGAATTATTATTTGGTGAAAACTTTGCCTGTTGTTGACTCTTGAACCAATCTGGTAGAGATGCACTTTTTGATGTACCATCACCACTACTAGTTTGGTTATTAGTGATTAAATCTGTCAAGGGATTTCCAGAATAACAACTATAGAATCCACCAAATGGTAGTGAATGTTTTCCAGCTAACTCTCTATCACTTGATAGACAGATACGCATACGTCTACCAAGTGCTATTGGCCAATAATATTGTGGACAATTGTACTGTTTGGTCAAACTATTCACCTCTTTATCTGTATACAGTCCACCAAATAAGTAACCACTATCATTGATATCCGGTAGGAAATATGATGGATCACGTGAACACCAATATGATTCTGTAATCGCACAGTTAGTTGTACAATCAGGATTTTTGAACCACGATTTCTCACTGCATACACTATAACACCTTCTAACTTGTTGTGGTAACAACTGTACAGGTATATAACCATGTGGACAGGTTAAATCACCAGTAAGTGGATTCGCTATAACTTCACTGATGCACAAATCATCTGGACCCACACACTTTTGAAAGACACCTCCAAGATACAAGGTTGAATTCATTGTTTGTTTACTGTGTATATCGCATTCTGTAGAGGCTACATTGGCTTCATTATCATAGAATGCTGATAAAGGATTCATACAACCTATAATATAAATGAATACATTATTGTCTATAATATTAGGACGTAAAGATTGTTATTGTGTAGGTTCAATTATCCTATCTTTGTGCATGTTTGTTTCATATATAAAAAGGTATTACTCATCGCTTACGCGTACCCAAACATTTCAACTTGAGCACTATCACTGGGATGTGCATCATCTGCTAAGCAAAATGGCACGATGGTCTAAATGAAACGACTCTCTTGGTGCATTGCATGCAAGAGCATGAAATTCACCATAGGAATGTTGCTTGCACAAATCTTAACTTGCAGTCAACTTTCACTTTTACAACAATCCATTTCATATTCTTACCAATGCAAAGATCTTAAACGAAGATTATCTAGAACTTTTCAAAGAATCTCTGTTTGTTCCATATTGTTTCAAACAGGATCGGCTATCATTCAGCAGTGTCAATGCCTGAGTACAGAATGCAATGCCGAGAGAAATTCACTCATCCTGGCCTCAATCCACTTAAACAGTGTTTGCAAACTGTAATGTGTTAAGTCTTCCAACTATATGTGTTCTTTTCCTGCTGTATACTTCGGAATTCACATTGTTGTTTACTTATGTCTGTGACATAATTACTGAGTGATGAAGACAGCTCTTTTGAAATCGTCATTAGATCACATATGCTAGAAAGGGTTTGTGTTTGCGTTGATAATTGGTCATACAGTGAGCAGTGTAAAACCCATGTCCTAAATGGAGGCAACTCTCAGGTGCATGATTAGTCATATGCCTTGCAATTGTGATTAGTAAACATAATTTAACCGCAATATTCTTTTGTCTTCTTTGTAAAAGTTTTAAGTGGAATTTCGCCTACATTATTTGCACTTTACCAATTTAGCACTAGCGATGCAAAATAATTAGTAGACAAGGAATTAGGGAACTTGTTATTGAAAGAAATGGATATTAGTAAGCTCATCTACTCCAAATTAATTATCACTAGCTTCAATTCCATTTCGATTATATGGGTTCAGTCATATAGTCTGAACAGCCTTTCTACTCTCTCTGGTAACCTGGTAACCAACTTGATCGGCGTTAACAGGAGGTAAATACTGAAGGTTTCTGACATTGTTTACTGAAATGCTATAAATTTTCAAGTCCACACATACTTTATTTTAGTAGAACCCAAAGGTCTAGACTCGAATTGAAGTTTTTCACTATTCATACTTGATAAAAGATTATCGGAGGAACCATACTATTTTACTACTTCTTAATGAGTCAGAATTCAAAAGCATAGATTGACTGACTGACAGGATGAAAATTAAACAAAAGAGTTAGTCCCCTTGTTGCAAAATGTCACTCTTTATCACCATACTAAGCAGAAATCAATTAATAAGGGTCTCGATGGGTCATAAAGAAAAAAATTAACACAAGACAATTCAGTGAAGAAATTTTGTTATAACAGTTCGTTTTTCATATATCACATGGTGAAACAGTATTGTTTATTGATATTATTTCAAGTATTATTTATCGTCCACAATCATATTAAGTTTTCTTTCGATGATTTATTTTTAGTAGCTGCACATTCGTAGGGATAGTTAAGACGGCAAAATATGTTCATCAGTGTCTAATGAGTTAACACACAGGTGTTATAAGAAAAAAGTAGCTTCCAGAATAATAAAGGAATTGGGTGTTCACTGTTGTGTTCAAAAGAATATCGTCCATTCTGTAATTTTACCCTGAACGTATACATTTCATCTGTCAGTATTATTATTTAGTTTGGGGTTTATGGGGATTTTATTTATTTCAAGGTATTACTAATCACGAGCTGGTATCAACTCGAAAATCATTGAAAACCTTGAAGCACTGGACAGCTGTTTCGTCCTACTATGAGACTTCTCAACAGCGTCTACCCACGAGGTGTCCCACGGGAATGAACTCAGAACCTTCAGCTTTTATGGAGAAAGCATTGACCATTCAGCTACTAGGTCGGAGTCCAGTTGTTCACAGTTCCCAACTCCTGTCAGTTCGCTATATAACATGACTATCCACCAGGGTCTTTTTCAGTTGGCATCCACTGAGAAGTACGACATACTGCTGCGGAGGCCTATACTAGGATGAATCAGCTGTTCAGTCCTCCCAAGTTTCTAATTGTTCTCCGATTGATTTCAGCCCATGATGAACGCCACCCTAAAATATTATTCTCATCCTCTTTTCCTTAATCTGTAATTGTATATACCAATTTTCCTACTACTGTCCCACTTCTTTAACCTCTTCCACTCCTTTGCAGCTATTACTCAATCACCCTGTTATTCTAAAAACCACTTACCAATAAAGTTTAAAATGAAATTTTGATGGCCTTGTGTTGACCTCTAAGTAGGTGGTGAAAATATAGTCGGCTTGTAATTCATTCAGAAATTTTGATTACGTTGTGTTGACCTGCTCTCACAATAACTATGATTCACCGACAAAAGGTCCAAGAATGTAAGGCTATCCACTGGAATAGCTAGCTCCAAGTTGGTTACTTCCGAGCTTTGTCAGCTAACATGGTGTCCATGGAATTGTGAATCTCCTAGTAATCTTAAGACGACTTTTATCTAGTATTAAGAATCCGTTCAACCATACTGTAAACAGATTACGCAGCTCATCTGTGAAAGGTGTATGTTTTTCCTAGTAATGAATTCCGTAAATTAAAAACCAAAACCCAATCTGACTGAAACCTTATTTAGATACAGTTAGACATCAGAGGTGGTGAAATCCAAGACCTGACCAGAAATTGTTCATGACATGTACAAACATCTGTACTGATGTCCTCTCGCAGAAAACAGAGGTGATCTTTGCTTTTACCGTCGGGTTGTTATCATCTAGGCTACTCAGTTACTAGACTCATTATGATCCAAGCACAGATCAATATGATTATTGCCATTAACTAATCATTATCACTCTGATATACTTACCAACCACAGTATTAGCCTTGTAATATCTTTCAACAGCTGATTTCAGTGTGGCAGTTAAACGTAATATCATGTGACCGGGTAATTCAGGCAGTGATCTGTCTGTTATAACTTCATAAATTAGTTGTCCACTTCGATCGATAGCAACTAATTGGTTGTCTAAATCAGCTTCCCAATATGATAAATTAACACTGGACATGTGTATTATTGGACCACCATAAGTTGTAATTTGACTGAAGGTTACTGTACTTTCATAATTCTCAACCTATAAAATGATAGCATCAGTAAAAATGGTCAACAAGCTATTTATAATAAACACTTTACGTTTCTATGATCTATAATACCTTTCAAATACAGGTTGGTGCTTCAGCACTGATCTAAGCTTATTTGTGTTGTTGTCATAGTATTCAACTATTCGTTTATGAAGTTGACATTAGAGTATTGAATCTCCTAATCAGTAGTCGAAATGGATACTTTCATCCATGAGTACAAGTCATATGCAACACAGTTCACAATCACTAATTACACAGTCTTTTAGCAGTATGCGGGAAGTTCTAAAGCAACAATAAATATTCACCAAAAACCCTTTCAGCAGTGTTATATCCTTTTATAAACTGATCACTCTTCCATCATTTATGAGCCTACCTTGGTATCAGTAAAATTATGTTTGAAAAGCGTTACGAATGGCATATCTCTGATGTTTTTCTAAACCATTGTTGTTGCTGGCGAAAAACTAATACATTCATGTTGAGGTACATGCCGTTACAATCAACAGCACCTGATTAGTTATCAGACTCATAGAATGTCAGTGTGTATAATCCAAGATAGTCTTAAAATCGTAAATCACACTAACACAAAATTATATCCTATACGCAAGCATGTAATATTGCATTCTTAGGTAACATCGATTGTACGCCCGTAGCACAGTATGAGTGAATCTGTGACTTCTTTATCTAGATGTCCAACTACTGAGTCCCAGGTTCGAACCCTCCAATAGGCATTCAGGTAGTATCAAACGCTACAATAAATAGCTGTGCACTAGATCGCAAGTGGTCACTCAATTGCTTTTTAGTTCTACACATGTACGCTTTCATTTTGTAAATAATATTCTCAAGTTATAACTATCATATCTGTTAAACAAGTATAATTCAAGCCGGTTCAAAAGAAGATGAGCAGTTAATGCCCTATGCCTAACTATCTGTTCATCAGTGGTGATCAATATTTTTAGATCGTTTTATAACTTGTGGTTGAAGTTTTCAGGAGTCATCTAATTGCTCAATTTTGAGTAACTTTTTAACAGAATGTAAACACAAATTATGAATCTTCAAGAGTAATTTAATCATACAGAACATAATGCTAATAAACACGCATACACAAACAAAGTATTCCTATTTGTCTAAATACAGTACTACATTATTCTATATGTCTCATTTAACTTATTTAATAATTTCCAAAGATGATCAATTTATTTTATTGATCCAACTTATAACAAAAGGTTAACAACTAATGATTAGTTAATTGTATTAAACAGACTATAAGAAAAAAATAAGAGATTTGGTCGATAAATTATTAACAATCATACTATGTATACATTATTTACAAACCAACGAGAAATTATTCTAAGCAAACATTTAGAAACACAATTCTTGATAAGCATTTAACAATGAAGTCTTTGACTTCAGTACTGAATACCACATTCTGAGGTCTTCAAGAAGACATTGGTTTTCAGATGACTGCTGATACTTTTTGTCGATGAGTAGGAGGCCTCTTGCAGGTTAATTCTAAACATCTTACAATGGTATTTCTAGGATAATTAATCAATGAATCGAGGATAATTAGGAAGTCGAAAGCAGTTGATCATTCTTGAAAACGTTCTGCCATAACGGACAGATATACAGTCCAACTCTTATCTACATGAAGAGTCTACCAACCTTCCCATCATCCTTGAATGACTATTTGGCTGTCGCATAGATAGTTTGGTAGGGATATCATCTAGGTCATATCTTTTGTATCCAAATAAAAGCTTACTCCATTGTTCTGCTGTCAGATTTAGGAGACTGAAATGTCGAAGTGAGTCTAACGACTATTCAATCGTCTCATGAGACTGAATTTTCTTAAATAAACTTAGTTAAACAGGGTATGATATTGAAAAAAAAAAAAAAGAAAACCTCTTTTATTGGTGGGTTACGTAACACCGAAAGTGGTTTGGCCTAGAAAACTTCTTCTAAAATGATGATGGTGATTTCAGCTAGAAACTAACCAGACTTCAAATAGGGCAGACAAACGGGCTAGTATCAGGGTAATCGCATCGAAGTTTAGATTCAGTATCAAACCGCAAATAGGATATAAAAATCTGACTGAGATTCATGTTGAAACATATGAGGATGTAAAACAGTGTTGGGTTGAAGTAATTTGGAAAGCTTTTAATATCTATCACATTTCACACTAAAGTACTAAAAACTCCAACAGTGAGATGGACGTGCAAATTATCGTATTCAGAAAGGTAATAGAAAATAGTTTGAAGAACCTCATAGGAGATGAAAAATGACGCATTAATCACCAGACTACTAATAAGCATTTGTAAGTAAGCGTCTTTTCATTGCTCAAAATAATTATCTGCATGTTACTGAGTAGTCAGTTACGTTACCTGTTAAAGTAATCAAATAAGCATTAAACGAAGGTTGAATGAGTAGCTTTTACTTCTCATTTGAACTTAGAGATACTTGAATCAGGGGCTAGTAAAGTTGCATATACGTAATAGAGCAGTAGCATGTTCCAGGCGATCTTGGTGATCCTACTTCAAGAATACCAAACTCCTAACTAGTAAATGCTTCCATCATTATCATCTCTCACGCTGTACCTCATTACAAAGTTATCTTAAGTTTTTGAAGAGGTCAATGGAAAACAGAAATATAGTCTTTAGAGTTACTAATTTATGATAACGTATGATAACGCAAGTGCAGTAATATTCAAATGATGGGGCGTATAGAATGGGCTGATTTTTAAGTCCACTCTAGCCACTGCTGAAACATCCTATTAAACCTATCTATTTTGTAGTGAAAAAAAGGATTTTGAGACGAAGTAAATAAATGCAGTCGGCAAATGAAGTGGTTACTAAGGCGGTCTTTAGAGTCATTCTCAGAAAGTCAGGATCACGTGGCTGGGCCGAAGTAAGATATTTACAGCCACCAGTTCAAGCATGTGATTGTATACATTTTATCGATCACCAAATTTGCTACTTTTCATTGCTACACGATTACTAAGGGTCACATCTAATTTCGCGTCTATTTGTTTCTCTTTGGGAGTCGTCAGCTGGGTGCATCCACATCCGAAACTAGACTCGCGAGTTACTGTGCCCATCAAGTGGCAATATTGAGATAACCGCGTAATCAGCTACTTTGTACAGGAGGAAGCATTTTCTAATGCTCATGGGTGACTAACTTTGAGAGGTGAATTTCTGAGGTTCTAATGAGAAGTCGTGGCCGGTGAGGCAAACCTGATGGATGTGAGGACAAATACTCAACGATGACATTGGATGGAAATCGTCCCATATCGTGAACTGACAGTAGTTGGGAATACAGACCATTGGATTCCAACCCTTGGTTCAATGGTAACGTACCGGCCAGGGAATCTAAATGTCCTGGGGTCAAAAGTGCACACTGCTGAGGAGTCCCATACTAGGATGAAACAGCTGTCCAGTGATCCCAGGTGTTTAGCATTTCTATGACTGATGTCAGTCTATGACGAGTACCAACTTGAAATCAATAAATCCCCACAACCTCTCAAACTGAAAAAAATGTTTGTGTAGATTTAGAAATTTAAAGGGTTTCACATATCTATAAAGTTAGTTGAACATATATGTACTGCAAACTTTATGAGCTTTGAAGTCGTGGCTAACGGTAAAAGCATAAGCCAGATACTCTTTAACAACTTGAAAACTGATCAAATAAAAAGCAAAACGGGTAACTTCTTGAATGTTGAAGACCTTTAATTCTATATGTTGCTCTTATTTGATTGGTTGTTTGTTTGGGCCTGTTTGAAAACGACTGATTTTATCTGCCTGTCATTCTGATAGTTGAATAGCTGATCAAATTCAAATACGGAAACATACTGAGATACTCACTTGAAGTACCTTCAGAGGAAAAAAATACTCCAATGAGATAAAAAGAAATATTCCTTCTATGAACATTTTTCCAGAAGACAAAACTTACTGTGGATACATTACTTTTAGTTGACCCTTCAAGTTTAAAGTTGAAAAGATTCGCAAAACTAACTGTTGCTGATGTGCCTAATCGCCATCTGTCCTCTTTCTTAACATTGAATGAACTTGTGTCCAAAGTATCGGTTTTTGCTAAGACTGCGCCAACATGAATCGAATTTATGCAGTGTGTGCCAAAATCTCTAAAAAATAACAGTAATGGTAGATTAAGATGATTTAGGGATTCCGTTTGTCACCGCTAACAGGTTTAACTATTAGTTATTTTTACAGACTTATGGTACAATAAAAATATCTGGTATCATCGTGCATTTTTTCACACTAGTGGTTATCTCATTTTAAGACTGTTGTCGAAAGAACCGTTAGAAACTTAACCAAATATCTAGATTGTACTTTCAGCCTACCTTCGACGCAAAAGCTTAACCAGTTTATTTTCGCGTCAATGCACTATTAGAAAGATAAGTGATCATACATCGTCTCTTGATACTTGTAATTTCCCGTTACTATACATGGCCGCATCACTTGACCTCTGTTGGAGGAGGTTGAGTCACACTAGAGGCGGCTATCTTATCCCAGTGGCCTCGTGGGTAACGTTTTGGCGTTTGAAGCCGTGGATACTGGGTTATAGTTTCAGTGGGAACAACATCACTCATTGGGCACAGATATATCCGGCCGAAGAGTCCTGAATAGGACTAAACATGCGTTTCTGATTCCACTGCTAGTCAGCAAAATGAATATTCATTAATTCCGTTCAACTCTTCAGCTTAAATACCAAAGTGGGCCGTAACACTCGCTAACTTAATGTATTCTACACCTTTCAATGGGCATTCATGGTTCATCTCTGTCTCACTTGATGTATAATCAGTTTTTGTGTTTACTACCTATCATTTCTTTTGATTCGTATCTTCTGCTGATAGGACTGGATTTACTCACCCTTCATTGAGTAACAGTTTGCAGCCTGAAATTTGAACCTTGTTTTGACTTCTTCAAATACCAGTATACTATTCAACAGACTACTTAGCCAAAACAGCCCCTTTTGTGTTACAGATCTTATCATACTCTTAATTTCCAATGCAAATACGAGATTCCGCAGTTAGCTACTACTTAAAGAAAAGAAATTTCGAGTTGACTCTGCAAGGATACTCCATCACATGCCACCAAAATTCGACCAATTAGACCCAAAAGAGCAAAACAGTAGATTGCAGAATGTAATTACTGACAATCAATTCTTCTCAAAAGTGTTTAACAGTCTGCCTTTCAATTATTCTGTACACTGTTGTAGGGATGAAAACTGGAACAAATTGAAATTACACGCGAATAGGAACCATGGTGCACAATTTTCTATACTTTTCTTTATTTTACATTCTGTTTAGTTTTATTCTTCAAATCCTTGTGGTCAACAGCAGAATTAATAAATAAAAGTAAGTAAACACTTAAAATGGATATTATTTTGGCTTAAGTTGCTTAAGATAGGATTAGTTGACAGACTTAACTAAGGGGATATTGAATGAAACTGAAAGAGAAGATGGATAGACAGACCAAATTTCATTCAATATAAATTGAATGAGTAACAAAACTCAGTTGCTGACCTCGTGTAATTTTCAATTCAGTTATGAAATTTTGTTGTGTGAAAATGAATGTGATGGTTACAGTAAGTAGGTGAAGGTTATAAGAAAACGATGTTCACTTGTCCAATACTTTTTTAATGACCGGTCTAAAATGATGTTGCTAACTAGTTGACTTAAAGTTTCGGTTTTTGACTTTTTAGTCAATCCTCATCTCTCCTCAATAAAAAATTCATTTTTTACACTCTTACTGTATAACCTGAAATGCGTACTATAACACCGATAGTAAAATTTACTTTATTATATGGAAAGATTTTGTGTACTGAGGTGCATTTGCATCTTTTGATTGTGCAATAAATGATTAGTAAGTTAATTTATGTGACTTAGTATTGTAGTGGGCGCTACTGATAAGAATCTAGATAAGTAGTGTATGTTGAGAGGCTGAAGGAAGTCATATGCAATTATGAGCGATGAATAAATATTCTACCCAGCGAAGCGCAGAAGATGACGTGGGCGTATCAAGAGCAAGACGAGATAGAAGAAGAAGAGAAAAATGAAACATATTATGCAAATAGGTATTTTAACGGGAAGGTCTCAGTATTTCATCAGTTATGTATAAAGTGTCATTAGAAACATCCTTCTGCGTTTCATTCTTTGCTGTTTAATCTTAGTATTACCAAGCGCATAGCCTTTAACTGTAATACTGATTGTTTCCATCAAAATATTCCATATTGCGGCTTGACACCAAACGACAAAATGAGTTGTCCTAACTATCAAGTTTATCTGATACTCAAATACAAGAGCTATTACTTAAATGAGAACAAGATATGGTGTTTTTCATAGTTTTTTTACACTTACATGTAAATTTAATTCAATAATGTTTTTAAACTACATCATTCACCTGTTATTACTTCAAATAAAGCTGTTAATAACAAATATTATTGATTCCGCATCCTTGGATTCAGATGGTTGATGCGTTACTTGTTTCCTCTGCCTACTTTTCCGACTAAAACGTGCCAACAATGCAAATAAACGTCAATCCCAGTTAATATACAGTTGAAAAACATTGTAACTGTTGATCAGCAAAGACCGATAATCATATGAAATTAGGAAATCCATTGAATAATTTGGTTATTCATCTTGAGAAACTTGAAAAGTTTAGGGTTAGGAGGTAAGGATTCAAATTTGCCTAGTTTGACTTGCTAATACTTAAAATCTTGAGATTGGGAGATTAAGGGTAGGTGGGATCGTCGGTGCGCACTGCCGAGGCGCCCACAGTAGGACGAGACAGCTGTCCAATGCTCCCAAGTTTCCACTGGTTCTCCAACTCATGTCACCGCCTTGTAGGTGTTTAAAGTTGAACTATAGTTCAAGTGTAAGTTATCAGTGAATTACTTCGTTTAACTTTATCATGTCTCAGTTTACTAACATTTACTTTATTAAAGAACAGTTTAGTTAGTGCGAGGCCGTTCGGCATCTTTTCAGGGCCATGTAATTCATTCAGATACACTAAGGAATCTCTTCTCAGTATTTTCAGATACATACATAGCCACTATTGTTTTGACTTCAAGAAAGTTAAAAGTCTAAGTTCTACTCATCATATTTTCTCAGGTAGTTTAACTCCTCCAATCTTTCTATGGTTTCTATGTAAAGCCTTTCTAAGTACGTAGCCTAAATTCGTATCTGTTTGTTGGTAAACTTTCACTCTAGAATATTTGTTGAATCACTCTGCACATAGACAATCTTATTATCAGTTCTTAATCTCTTACTTCCATGACCTCAATCACGCAACTAAAATGTTATCTTTGCTTCAGGCCGATAACTTTCTATCAAATTTATTCACATATTGAAACGGAGTGACGACTGAAGGTGCAGTCAAAATCTGTACTGTATTAGGTTTCATACCGACGACCATCAGGATTTCTGTCCGGCGCCCTACCACCTGAGATACGAGACCCTGCTGCTGATCAGATAGTACGACCCTCTCTAATTCAAGTAGATCTGGAGTAGGATGAGAAATCCTGACTGGGCAGCGTGTGCCAGTAGGATCAAGCGATAGTACAGAATCACGAATTTATACAACAGTCTGGCAAAACCCTTGGTGACTAAAGGGAAATAAAAATCTGATCAGCAACCTGGTATTGAAGCTCAACTGGCAGAGCACCAGACCGGGAATCCTGTGATCGCTGGTTTGAATCCTACTGAGGTCCAGATTTTCATTTCACCTTCAATCATCACCTGGTATCAGTACAAGTCTACCAAACCACGGCAATCTCAGATAGTCAAACTGATTCAGGTGTGTAGACATTTTTGAACATTTTATTGCTAAATAGTTTTAAGTTTTAGACACCTGATGAGAAGCACCAAACTAAAATGAGTTTATGTTTTTCTGTAAAAGGGATTGTTCTCGCTGTTTTCCAGTTGGCTGACATGTGATCCCCACCATAGTGTGCATTGGTGAAGAGTGCCAAACTACGATGAAACAGCTGTCCGGTGCTGCATGGTTTTCACTGCTTCTCCACTTATAATTGATTCTTGAAGTATGCTTTGGTGTGAATCAGTTTCTTGCAAACCACCCAATTGAAAAAATAATGTTTACAACAACCAAAAGACAAACTAGAAATGTATTGCATGATGATAACAAAATAGTTATGAAGACTGTCTTCACAAGTAAATCATGAAAGTTAGATTTTGCAGGATGCAAAGTAAGGAAAAGGAGAAACATAATGCAATAAAAAACTGGATATGTTATCCTTTAATGAAAGGCTGGGGCTTGATTGTTAGGTATCACTTCACTAATGTCCACGAACATAAGCCATTTTTCATCTTCTAAACCAGTTAAGTTTGTAGAAAATGTTTGAGAATAATTTTAATAGAGTTATGCATTCTAAAGTAACTAAATTAATTTCGATGCCAACTGTTAGTTGATTCGTGCTTCCGCCTCGTAAACATGAAATAGTCTATCTACATTATTTTCAGAAAAACATATCAGTTTTGTCTGCACTAAATAGCTTCGAAGATGAACAAACGTGCTCCGGTCAACTACCATCGACTATATTGTATAAGGCAATCGACTTGGTATAACGTTCATCAATATCACATATCGAATGACCTTCGTTTTCTATACACATATAACATAGTGTTCAGTATAACTTATTAGTGATGATGATACAACCTTCAATTTCACCTTGGATTAACTAATCCAAAACGCTGTTGTCTTGGTTGAGCTTTTGTAATTAAGTGCACTATATATATATATATATATATATATATATATATATATATATATATATATATATATATATATATCAGCTAATAACTCCAGTCACTTGAACGGTGATTGTCTCCTAAGCAATCGTTCGGTTGCGATGCAAGCTTTATTTTTATCACCTTTTGAATAGTCAAAAGTTGTAGCGTAGGGTGCACTCAACAAGAATGTTTTTCTTGGTATATTTTAGACAATCAGTCGTATAAAATTTACATGAATTTGTAAGAGTGAGATTTTTAACACTGCTGATGAATTAATTTACTGATAAAATAAGTCGGAAGTTGATTAGGCTAACTGAAGTATCCTTGAAAGAAAACCTGAGTTGTTGCATGATTCAAACCAATACCCTTAATTTTTTAAATCCCGCGCTTTTTGATAATTTCAGGTTTTTCGCCCACCTTGATCCTCAAGATTTTCGCAAAGCGTTTATGCGAATATGGGATTCAGGACAGTTTTTTTGTGAAAATCACTAAATGGCAAGAGTAATAACGATAAACATACTAATTATCAGACATTATCACTTCATTTACTTACCGAACAACTAAATCAGCTAAATAGAATGCATTCATACCCTCACTTAAAGATCTGAAATTGTCACTAGTCAGTAGTCAGTGGAATCTCTAAGTGTATTACCCATTAAACCATTATTGAACATTTCTATAAACTCCATTGAAACGTTTCCACGTTCTAAATACGCAGCTATGTCTAATAACCGATTTTTGAAACGCGAATGTAGTTTCGGATCTGGAATTTGTTGAACAAAATAACGATTGTGTCGCATTTCACTTTGAACAATAAGGCCTAATTTTTGACTCTATCAAACAAAAAAAATAATTTAAAACAAGCAAAAATATTTTGAGATAATTGATTGAGGATATGATGAAAATTATGTCATTTTGGACAGCTATATGAATAAAACAATCAGTTGTCTGTCGACCATAAACTAATTTTGTTTTAACCATGTGCTTATTATTTTTGAAATTAATTAAATGACATTCCAGTTTAACCCAGATATAGCTCATTCTCTAAGATGAAATAGTATTCAGAATTGTTCTCTCCAACTAGCGTTACTGTTTGTCAACCAAATAGGGATTGTTTGATCTGAGGATGAAGACACCAGTGCATTGCCAAGCGTTCAGAGGGAGTTATGAATTTGGTCAGTGTCAAGAAACCAGATGACGAGCTGGCGGTGTTGTGTAATATCGTCTCTTGTGACAGTCAAATAATATCTGGGAACCTCGAAACTGCAATCACATAGATTAGCACATCAATCTATCGATTAGAATGATAAAGTCAGTCTGAATTAATGAGGATTGTTCATTGAACTGCACCCAAATCTTTGAAAGGATGAATGTTTGACGGTATATGGACTGTTGTATCACATCTGTCGTTTTCTTCCTAGTCACAAGTGAGTATAAGTAATTTTAATTCAATTACCTTCATTATTCTGATTCTACGGTATCGAAACGTGACTGCCGAAGAGAGAGGGACAAAAAGGCAGGCAGGATGACAATAAATGTTGAAAAACTCTACTTTAATTGTACAACTGTTATCCTTCGGTACGGATGATTTTCATGGTTGGTTGCATGCATATCTTCACCAGCTAAACAAATGTACACATATGATGCAAAAAAGATGACTGCAATGATAGTTCTGTAATGTGTCTATCTTAGGTTATTAGAAGACGTTTCCTGCACTCACTGACTAAAAGAAGGGAATCTCTATTCAAAGAAAACAGTTTCTGAAACTACTGCTGGTTTATTCGTAACTTTTTAGGATAAAACGTCACTGGCAGTGACTTAATATTTGTCAGTAGGTGGAAATGATGGTCATAGCGCATCTTGTGAACCTTGTCCACAGAAAACACTGGAAACCCATGTCATCTCTTTGCTCATGTTTCTTTTTAAGAACTGTCCCAGCATAATGCATTGTAGTCTTTCTCGGCGTTCTCACTACAATTTCAAATATCCACAGTGATTGCTACTGAAAGTTTTAGATCATTGTGTCCAAGCGGGAGGTCTAACTTTGTTATACTATTGAAGACAATTTCAGACGATAAACAAAATTTGCTAGTTTTGTTAAATTACTGATTCATAGACGTCACGTAAGAAAGGTAAAAGTGAAGTCAAATACATAAACATATCAAGAGATTTCTGTGAAAGAATTGCATCTTGTGCCGTTAGTCTTTTCTGGTCATATTTATGATCATGACGGCAACCATGTTGACTGGAAATAAATCCTGGATATTTCACCTGTGAAAAGAAGAGTGGCAGTTTTCCACACATAGTGAGAAACCATGTTCATCATTATGATGAAGAATGTTTCAAGCTCTAACTTACACTTCTGTATCGGAGAAACACACTATGACATGAATATTTGCATAATTATTTTGGAGGCCATGTCATCAGTGACTTTATGGAAGACTGACAAATTTGTTTTAACTCTGAAAGAAAAGTGAGTTGACTGGCGTGAGCTTCGATGTAAATTTACTGTAATGAGCCTTAAGAAATCAAGATAGGCTTTAGCCTTGACATAGGCAGTTAGATCTAGTTTTTAGCAGCTCTGGCAACTGTTGAGAATACTGATTACATCTTATGGAAGTGGAAAAGGATGAGCTCGATTTTTAAATGGAGGATTGAGAACAAACAATGGTAAGTAGAAGCACGATTACTTACATAAATTTGTTACTATTATTTGTTCCTTGGGTTCCCAGTGGAACATAGGGCTTCAGTAGCACGTCGCCATTGCACTCTGTTCTCTGCAGTCTTTTCAACCTGACTCCACTACTGCCCACAAGCTTTTATTTCTTCCTCACATGAACTCCTCCATATCACCCACTTACGTAAATATCTAGTGTACATCTGAATAATTAATAGATATTTTGTCAAATTTTCTGTGTTGGGTCACAGATTCATCATTATTGGTAAAAGCAATCTTGTTTAGAATTGGTGAGACATTATAGATATTATCTTAGTCAGCAAAATCTAGCCTGAACCGTTTATCATAGAATACCTACTGATAATCAGAAGCTGCCTTAACTCTTAGGTGAAATAAAGATTCTGAAATTCTGTTAGTCATTTATTAAGTATCCATAAGGGTATTCGATTTGCAAAGTAGATTAAGTATGCTTACAAACAAACTATCCACAAGTAACCACACTGGATCCCTTTTTTGATGAAATATCGGTCATGAGTCTGAGTTACCAGCAATTACTGAAACCTCATCAAGAAAAGCAATATGATTCAAATGAAGGTTAATGTAACATAAGTCAAAATGGAACAAACAAAAGAAACACTGAATTACACAAATCTAATATCTGCTCTCAAAAACTGTTCCTTGATGAGAAAAAGAAAATATGGGGAAAGGAAATCTGCAAGCCAGTTTTATAGTTAATATAGGCAATGGTTGAAGACAAACATTAGTGCATATTTATCAAGTTATAGCTAATATATTGAAGATGAATCAGTGAGAACGTTGTTTTTAAATTTTGACACATACTTAACTGGATTCCTTGAGAAATTAAGAATCAATGACTAGTGAGCTTTTTGCCTTTCTACACTGAACTTCTTTACTAACCTTCATTCATTTCGCCCATCGTCTCTGCTATGACAGGCTGAAGAAAAGGAAATAGGAAACGTACAGAAGATTTGTAGATTGGACCGAGGAAGACAATGGTTCAGTGTCCTCCGAGCTTGGGAAGAATCTCAGTAGAGCTTCATTGGCTGTATTACTGCATTTAATCTAGGAGATATTCTACTCAAGACTTATTTAATAGTATTGTTGCATAGCTCAACTATAAAGCTTTTTATTCACTCCTTACTCATTCATTGCTTAAAAATAGTCTGTTTAATAAAATCATTCATTGTTAATCATTCCTGCTTTCATGTGTGAAGTCAGATATTTCATTTTCATGAATTATGCTGCATTGTTGACATTTAATTCAGCTCTCAGCATGGATGACTGGAATAGCTGGAATAAAAGGATATTGAGCATTTAGTCTCAATCTTTTCTTGTACAATGAATGAGAATGGAGGATGAGTAAGAAATGCCGATAGTTCAGGTCCTACAAATGACTCATCTTAGTGCTGTTCAGTTGACGACGCTTAGGCACGATAAAACATAGTCAGCGTGGTAGTATTCAGATACCAAGGTATACAGAAAGGCACAGTCGTATGACACTGTTACACCGATTGACTCATCGGGCCAATCTAGCAACTACTGCAATAACTAACATGATCACTTTATTATATGAAAAACTACCTTGTCAGGCAAAATACTCATTCCTGATTGGTTATGTCAGCAGTTGCTGGGGTGGCCTTTAGAGTTACTCGTCAGTGATCATACTTTGTCATTATGACACTCCCATACACGGTTTTCTACCTCAATATCATCCTTTTTTGTTTGCTGTTGTAACCTGCAGTAACTTGAGTCGATGTATTTCTGTACAAGTTTCTACATTGACTTTAATGTGTAGCTGTCATGGTAATTTGAGACTGTATAGAATAGTAACTTCAAATGGATAAATTTGCTATAGGAATAGATTAGATATTCAGGAGATAATCGTATGTCCTAGCAGTGTTATTCAGTGGATAATATTCAACACCTGGAAAGTGTAGGACGTTAGTCAGCTTATAATGTGAACTTTTAAGGTAGATTTTCAGGAAAATAAGATTTCTTCATTCTGTCTTGATGAAATCTGTGAAATAGTATTATAGAAAGTGATCCTATATAGTTCGATGATGATAGTTTAGTGGTCACTGTTTGTTTATCTTTCCCGTACTTATAATGACATCTATTCCGTTTAAGAAAGCTTCTTCCAGTATCTGTGTAAAAATGTTTCACACCTATCGTATTTTGCCTCAGTCCCTTAGGTTCCGTAACTATTTTATATTTCATGATGCTACCAAAGTATTATGTTGACCGGCTTATCGTTTGCCAAGCATCTGTTCAGTGATTTGTAAAATGGTTAAAAACTGTTTTCTTTATGAAAGCAAACAGCTATCATACGTGTATGAAAAACTTAGAACTAAAAGCGAATACTATGCACGAGTATAAGATTGGTTAAACATCCTTAGAAATCAAAAATGAAATGTATGCAAGTAAGATGATAGTGTGAAGTTTGATATTATTTGCATATCTCTGTCACTATCATTCTAGATGTGATGAATACAACATGCTATCACTTATGACATATAACTCGGATCAGAGGATCTTTTGAGTTGTACCATAACTGCAATAAGGTTGATTTGATGATATCAAGATTGAACACGGTTGTTTGTTTTAATACTTTCACAATGGATCATTCTGAAGGTTATGGAAGTGATTGATAAAGTCTCTTAGAATGAATAAACTGCCAAAAAAGAATCTCCTGATCATTCTCTGACTTTCCACTTTTACAAACTTAGAATAATAAAATGTAGACGTTGTTGCTGATAGAAAAGTGCAAAAGGAGTGTGTGCTTCACATTTCACTCCCTTAGTGACTTGATACTAATTCGTAACCGCTTGTTTATTTATTCTTATACCTCACAAACATTCATCAATCACTGCATCACTTTTTAACTAAAATGCTTAAACTTGACTTCTAATTTATCTTTCTGTTCTATTACCAATGTACTGTTCTAGGGACGTGGAATTGTAAAGTATATGTGGACTTCCGAATTCGTGATAACAATAACTGCAAGTATCCAGCCCTCACAGGAACACTATGAATGATAAGTGTAACACTATATCTCATATAATCCAGAAATCTGATCAAAATGGTTAACGAAGTAATCCAGACATCTCAAACAGTCTGGACCCCATTTTCTGGGTGCGTTCACTGATCACACTGATTCCAATCACTATCCCCAAAAGAGTACTCACTCCTATCATCATCATTTCTACTAAATCTTTATTACTTATAAAACATTCCGATTACTTTGAACACAACTGGCTACTACTGTCATTAAAGTTGTGTACTAAAACTTATAATCTAGTTGGTATAAATTTCTCATGAAAACTGCTTTCAGACTAGTAGTCCCTTTCAATAACTAATCTATCTGTTGTCTTAGTAAGAACGACATTGCTTGCTAGGACTCAGGTGCATCTAGCTGTGGGTAGATTCACTCAAGGTTTTGCCACAAGTTTTTGTTTCAATCCAAGATGAAGTAAAATTTCACAAGTGTCATAATAACTAAAAAAGCGTTCCCAATTATCAGCTTTCGCTCAGTTCAGGGGATTCATAATACACAGTCAAAATGAAACTGATGGCTCTCCAGTGACAAATCAGTGTATCTAAGCCAGTCATACAGGAAGTCAATCGTCACCTGAATGGCTCAACTGCAAGGTCTTTGACTGTAGCACTAGGTGACCCTGGTTCGAGTCTTTTAGGTTACCAGCAAGCACAAAACCTAGGTCAAGTTGGGCTACCTGTCGATTGCCTCCAACCATCTAACACCGATAAAGTGCACCATGATAAAAAGTCTCCTAGCTTGGTGTCCATGTTGTAAAATTATTGATAGAAATCAGTCTCCACGCAGGACCAGGTAACATGAAATTGGTCACACTGCAGTGACCAGTCAGCATATCATTCATAATGGTCAAATGTCAGTAGTTTTCTTCAAATACTTCTCCTTACTAGCAAGTGTTGTTTGTTTAGTGGACTGTAAAAGATATCTACTTTGTAAAGATGAAATCGACTCAACCTTGTGACTGAATTATTTGCGAACAAAATGTGTCACATATTCCCTATGCATTTATTTTGCGTTTTAATAGATGTACTCCCTATGATTATTATCATTTGAACAAAATTTATTATCAGAATGAAAATGGTTACTTACTTGAGGAGAATCAGAACCTCAACATATGGCACCGGATGATTCATGATTCAGTGAATGAATTTAATGCTATTTTCATGAGAATATTAGTGTCATGGACAAAATTTGACATTTTCCGTGCAGTTATACCTCAATATTTTGACACACTGATACATACCTACAGTACTGCTACACATACACATAAACAAAACCTGTACACAAAAACTTCGCTTACGATTTCTATTTTAATGCTTATAAAGATCAGGTCAATTTGGTTGTGTTGATAGTTTGCACCACACCGACTGGCGGTGAACTGGACAACCATTGGCTTATTACATACACTTTAGTCATAACAGCAAACTACTAGTAGTGAATGGAATTTATCAGGTTACAATATTGGTAACCTGTACGCTTTTTCACTGAATAATATCTGTAAAAATATTTCAGTATTTTCTCTAACTTGTGTAGACATGTCACGCTTTACCCTGTGCTACGTAAAAACCAATCACGCTATACACAAAACGGTTTCATTTAATCAGCTGACCTAATTCAAATAGTAGTGAATAGTAATACAATTTACATAGGCAGACAGGATTTCTGGTAGCAGTTCTTGTGGTTAATCATTTTCTAACCAAAATGACATTACTATCAAGGTTTCTAAAGGAAATGGACGTTACCCTAATACATTCACAGTCAACACAGCAGGCCTCAGGGATTTCAGAAGCATTCTCAACTCAGCGCTTATTTATTCGGTTATAATATGATTACGTAGTCTTTAAAATCCGTCACCAACAGCAGAAGACACTCTAGTGCATTTCAGAAACTTAAGGTCAATTGTAAACAGCTTGAATTGTGTGCATATCTAATCTTGAAGCGAAGGTAAGAAGTAAAAAACTAGCGCTTTTTATTTTTTGAGCACCTAGGCATAATCAAAAGTGGAAAGTTTAGTTCACATTGTTAGCAAATGGAATAACCAAACCCGTATAAACCAGTGAGAGTTTAAGATGTGAGTGTATATCATGAAGTTTCAAACTGTCTATACCCTTGAATTTTTCATGTTTCATGTATATCACTGGCTATCAGCACCAATCATAGATGAGTAATGCTGTCCAAAAATCAGGAAACCACTCGAAGTGTGTTTTTCACGAGAGCAGTCGTTAAATATATAGAATTTATGTGGATACATTTTTTGTTAATTATTATATTTACTTTTTATCTATGCACATACAGACAATTCATATTATTATAACTAACAGGTTGATCACATTTCGTACTTAGGTGGATAAATTCAAGTACTAACCTCATTCGCTGCACAACCCCATTGTGATGTCAATGGAGTCACAGTCTATCTGGAGTGACTTTAAAGGCCATTCTAACAACTGCTGAAATAACCAATCAGCCTACGGTATTTTGCCTGGGCTGGTAGTTATTCTCAAAATATAGAAATGTTATTGATTATTTCAGGAGCTGCTAAAGTGACCTTAAAAGTCACTCGACTATTTGCCTAGTACACTAGCGGGAAACAAGATTGGTAACCTAATGGAGGAATGTTTTTATTTTCAACTATTCACTGCATGTGTTGATGGTAGCACATGAACAGTGGGCTGCATAAGAGTTAGAGACAATAAATACTCCTAGGGTATGTTAGCAGTTGTCAATATTTGGTACTTTTTTGATGTGTGAGCCAAACACTAGCAATAGGGTATCGAAAATAGTTTTGAACAGGTAGTGGGAGAATATCACTAGGCTTAAGGAATATGGAAAAGGATAGGAAAATCGTGGGGTAAAACATCACCCGATGAGATTATTCTAGAAATGTATAGACATCATATAACTCTTTGAAGTAACGATGATGACAGCGATTGCACATATTCCTTTTGAACACAGCCTCTAAATAGAGCTATGGATTGTCAGTGCATCAGCAGTATATGTTGCCTTATCCTTATTTTCTCCGAACAATTTTTTCTGACACTATTTCAAGAGGAGCTGATGACAAGATGCTCGAGGATAAAGCTAATAAGTATTCTTCTCACCAGGCAAAATGATTAGTATTTCTAAGTACATCTGGCAACTGAGTACATATGAAATTAACTAAGTCATTAGGACAGGAGCAGTTTTCATAAGGTTTAACAGTTTAGCTTGTTGTTCGTGCACTGAGTAATCAGCTATCGGCACAAGAAAACGATTCATAGACCTGTAACAAAGACGGTTCTGGCTAATTATTCTAACTGGCAGCGATATAGAATATCTTCAGTTAAGTTGCTATTGCGTCCAAGGAAAATTAGATTTTTTTCAACTGCGTAAATCTAGATAAGTCTTTCTCTTACAGGATTATTTGGAATGTTTCAAATTATTGTTTGGTAGTCTAGAATGTGCACACATTTGTAATCTCTTAAAAAGAAGAATGATACAATCTAGTGTTTTGCTTAAAGGTGTTTCACTTGAAAATTGGTGAGACGATAGCTCGAGTGACTTTAAAGGCCACCCTAGCAACCGCAGAAATGACCAATCTGGCTTAGGTATTTCTGTTGGAAAAGTACTTTTCCACAAAATAGGAGAATGTAATTGGTTGTCTCATCAGTTGCTAAGGCGTCCTTTAAACCACCCCAATAGTTGGAGGTAGGCAGCATGTAAAAATCAAAGAAAGAACTGTCAGGTTATTTCCAAAGCCAAACGTTAAAAAAAGTAACTTTAAAGGCCACCTTAGTAACTGAGATGACCAAACGGGTATCAGTATTCCGGCTAGGAAAGTAGTTTTTCATAAAGTACTGGTCCCCTTAACTGTTGCTACGGCAGCCTTCAAAAGCTTGACTTTAAAAGGACACCCTAGGAACAACTGAAATAAACTTTTATGAAAATCTGCCGTTCTAGCCGAAATGAAGAAACTAATTGGTTATTTTGGTCGTTGCTACGGTGGCGTTTAAGTCTTCCGTAAAACTGCTCAAAAATGTTATGCGGTGGGCTTAGCACCTTTCTGTTTCAAGCTGATGAAAAGGGGGCTATCTTGGAAAAATAACTTTAAGGTCAACCGTAGCAACAACTAAAATCACTCACTTGACTTTTCTATTTTATAAGAATCTGCCTTCCCGACCGAAATGAAGAAACCTAATTGGTTATTCCAATCGTTGCTACGGTGGTCTTGGAGTCGCCCTCCACCAATCATCTCGGTACCAGTCAACCACGAGGGATTCAAAATGTGATTCTAGTAGTACACCATCTATTGGTCTATTTCATAATGGTATGTGAAGTTAACGTAAAACGTTTGTCTGAGTTCTTACAGACAGTATGAAATGGAGGTATTAGTTTAACTTCACACAGCTTTTATTTTGATCTGATTCGGTAGAACAGTCGTTAACCAAAAAATCAGGTGCCTGAAAGTTGAGCTTCATATTATCATTCTTGAAATATTTCAAGCATTTCCCACGCATGACATACATTGATAGCTCATCGATGTCTTTGCATGTGTTGTGAAGTTGAACAGACATTTTATAATATTGGTTGACCTCCATGAAACACTAGCTTGCGTATTCTCTGAGTGTATACTAAAATTGAATTCAACTAACATAACTCCATTTTGAAAATCAATAACACTCGTATCAAACCACAAAAGACAAACCATCCGTTCACCCTGGTGATACCGATATTTATCTCATGTGATGTGAAAGTGATACCAAATTAAACCGATCCTAGTCACAATATTTCTCTCTCTCCCTCTCATCTCTAATGCCATGCTGTAAACACTAAACACTGCAATGGGCTGGATGGTTTGGGAAAACTTGGGTACTAAGTAAGTATGATTCATCGCATAAAGTGTTTCTTACTTGTGTAATCCTGGAGTAGTATGTTAGAACAAATGACAAAACAATACAAAATGTATTTTTAAGGTTAGTGGGGATTTGTTTTTGAGGTGACATTCATCGTGGAATGACATTAGTTGGAGAACCGTTGAAAATCTGGGAGCACTAAGACTACTGTTTCGTCCTCGTATGGGATTTCCCAGCACTTCCTACCCACGGTTTGGCTACGGATCGATCTCAGGATCTTCATGTTTCATGGCGAATACGTTAACCATTCAGTCACTGGATTAGAACTCAGCGTGATTATCACTTAAGGTCGTCAGTTGGCATCCGCTTCCCTTCTAACTGGTTGACTCCACAGGTCATGGCTTCTCATTAGAACGTTGGGATATCCATCTGGTGAGGAGTCCTACACTAGGATGAAACAGCCGTTCAGTGCTCCAAGTTTTTCAATGGTTATCCAAATGATGTCAGTCCGTGATGAATGCTACCTTAATAATACAAAATATTTGTTTCTTTTGTTCTTTGCTGTCATATACTATTCAAATAAAAATACACCTTATATGATGAATAAAACACTGGGTTTTTTTCAAGTTGTTATTCATCGAAGACTGACATCAGTTGGAGGAACAAAGGAAACCTGGGAGCACTGGACAGCTGTTTCGTCCTAGTATGGGACTCCTCAGCAGTGCGCACCCACGACCCCACCCCACTTGGGATCGAACCCGCGACCTTCAGGTTCCGCGACCAGCACGTTACCATTGAGCCACTGGGTCAGAATCCAATGCTCCATATTTCCAACTTCTGTTAGCTCACGATATAGCGCAAACCGCCACCCAATGTCATCGTTGAGTATTTGTCCTCACGGCCATCAGGCTTTGACTCCACCGGTCACGACTTGTCATTGGAACTTCGGGAATACTTCTCGAAGCTAGTCACCAACGGCACTAGTTCAATTAAATTTTGAGGGGGTTGTGGAGATTTGGAAATATTTCAAGTTGTTATTCATCGAAGACTGACATCAGTTTTGTTTTTTGTTTAGCACTATTAAGGCGTGAATATTCGTTAAAATATCAAACCCAAATTAACTATAAATCCCAAGAAAGTGTGTATTTGTAGAAGAACAGTGAATCAATGTTAACTAGTTCCGGGGGAAATTTGTTAATTTTTATCGTAATACAACTTTGTATTAAATAGAGTTTCCTGCTTTGATGTCAGGTTCTGTCTTTAGGACTTCAGAACTAGCTTGATAATCAGGTCTTGAAGTTGTGTTGGTTGGTTTATATTCGAGATTTAATGGCTCATTTTCTAGTTCATTGGAATCTGGTGAACAACAGGCGTATTGGTCATGATGGTTAGTTTGATTAGACAGGATAAATGACTCATATAATTTGGCACTTTGCATAAGAAGATTTGCACTCATACGTAGGTATAAAGATAACAGACCACTGGTAGTATTGTTTGTTAACTGGATTGGCAACGGTGCTGCTACAGTTGATGCTGGTATTGTAGTGGCTGTAATTTGTGATGGAAGAGGTAGGAGGTGATTTGTTACATTTGATGAGCCAGATGCAGTCTGCGAAGAAAAACGATATATTACTTATCACAGGAAGTTTTAAATACAAGCTTTAGGTGAGAGTTGTGGTGAATTAGAGCTTAAAAACATGGATATGAGTTATTCTACATTGAGTTTTCACAGATAATGAATGCAACTTTTCTCATACTGATAGAATACAGTCAACAGAAAATGTCAGTTTCAACATAAGGATAGAACTAACTGTGGATATGGTCCAATAATCAGTAGTTCAGTGAATATTCTGTAATATCTAATCATAAACGCAGGTGAACAACATTTTCTGAAATCGGTTTACTGGATTTATGAGCAGAAAAGTAACCACGATAAATTATGGAATTACTTTTTTGAGATCGGGTAACAAATTTTATGACTACTAGTACAGAACTAATATACAGTTTTGGATCAGACTTAGAGAATCATATCAATGACAAAATTGAGAACCACTTTATCAAAAAGTCACTGTGAATCGTTCAGCTCATTTTTACTCATCAATTTGTGATTGACCTTAAGCGGTCCAACAATAATTTGATAACCATAATCAATATAATGTGAACTTACTGCTGGACTAGGGGATAACATTTGTTTTTTGAAGTGATGATTAGCTCGGTTAGAGTCTTAGTAACAAAAACAACACTTGCAGGGAAATGTATAAAAATATAGTAAGTTCTTATCTACGAGGGCTAAAACCCAACAGATCATGCATTGGAAGAGTTATGGAATCAAACGTCTTTTATTTGACTTTACTTCAAGTTGTGTGAGGAACATGGAACTCATGAGTGAAAAATAAGGTTAAGTTTTTCAGAGACGTTCATATCAAAAGACTGATTAATAAACAGTTTTTTAAAAGAAAAGTAAAATGTTGACGGTTGAAGAATCAACACGTATCTATGTCATTTTAAGCGTCATCATTTTTCACTTCCTTTAAAAAGGTTATATTTGTTATAACACAAAACTAACTGACTTCCATCTATTGACATACTTATTCACAGAAAGTCTCAGCTACAATCAATTAGTTACCTGAGCTCTCTAACTCAGCTTGACTTAGATTGGGTTGAGATCTGGCTAGGTAAAGATAATACTATGATTATCAGGGTACAGCTTCGTATCATTCATTCATTTGATAACCAAGCCAAAATGGCGGTTTGATGGCTCAGTTGGCAGAGTGGCAAGTTAGCAACCCAAGACCACTAGTTCGAACCCTGCCCAAACCCGCGTTTTAAACTTAACTTCAGTTATCAGCCTACTATTTCACAAGAGACATGCATGACAGCTAGCCTTTAATGAGACTACAATCCAGTAAGGGGACTAGTGAATCACAACAATCAGTGACGTATTGTAATATGTTCAGCTTCGTTACCGCTGATTATCAATTGTTCAGTCATACTTGATTAGTATTTTGAATAAACAGCCCAACTGTTTCTCAACTTGAAAAGGCTTCACGTAAACAAGAGCTAAGTAGAGTATCAGGTTTCGACAAGTAACATCCAAAAGTATTCAAGGATAAAGAATCGACATTATCGTGATATTACATCCAATTAATGAGTCATTACTTGACCTAAGTTTCTTCTTTGCTGATATTTACATGAAATACACATTTCAAGTCTTAAGGGAACTCATGTTTCGTCAAAGATTAACTCTTCCAAGCCACAACTAGCCGCTGTGGGTTGAAATATCCACGCAAATCACTCAGCAGTAGTAACCGATGCAGCGGCTAGTTCCCGACATCCTCAGAATTTCAGATATGAGAATCAGTTGTGACCTCATTAGTTGAGAGGTAAAGTTCCTGACATTAATCCTCACTGACACAGGTCCTAATCACTGAGTGAATATGAGTTCATAAGTACAAGCATGCATACCCCCTAGGTCCAACAGGATTTCCTGTTAACTGATTTCTAACATCTTAAATGAAAAGTAAATGCATAACAGAGTCATATCACTTACCTTATTGGTCGAATTCCAAACTTGATCGATGGGCGTTGGTCATTACCAAGCACTTAGAGCTTCAAGACTATGCCATTTATCATAAAAATGACCAATCTACATCAAGACTATTTGTTAGACTAACTGAAGTATTCCTACCAGGTAAGGGTAAGATAGGTCAGTTTCTGTTCGTTCTCTGTCATTTAGTATCCTAGTCCTTAATAAAAAGAGAAACATAATCCAGTACTGACTACTTACCTACTGGACTATTTACAGTGTCGGTGAGGTATCTTACAACATGCTTAAGTTCTTTTGTACTGATTAGCCATTAATTCTACCTTGGTGTACGTTTGTGGGACATGGCATCATAAACAGAAATTTTCAGAACGCTTCACTAGAATTTTCTTTGCATTATTGCTTGTATTAAGTAGAATTAACAGGATTAGAAATGAGGAAATTAGGTTCAAGTTGATAAGTAAAACGAGTATTTCAGCAAATAATGTTATTTAACTTCCCCGAGTGAGATGGTCAAAATGTATGCTGCACATACCGAGTTACTATCTTCCTCCACATGCTATGGTAACTGAAGTAGAATAAGGCTGGAAAAACGTTAGAGTTTGTCGAACGAAGACATGAGTCATGTAGTCTTCCTAGCTGTAGTCCACGAATCGACTATTTTGAAATAAGTTACTGCGATCCACCCGTTTTCCCTAATATTTTTCTGAGAGTCAGTCTGTATCAACATTCATAAAGCTGACTACAGATAGTTCCAGATTTCTTCACAACAACGACGAATCTGTTTTCATCAACTGTAAAACTAGTTCTTGGTTAAAGAGGTTCTTTAATATCCTCATCTTCAAAATCAAAGGTGAAAATGCTTCCATAGCCAAATAATTTGTGTTTATCAAGGGGAAGATGCATAGAGTCTTGAACTAAATCATGACAGAGTTACAAGCATGTGGTCAATCAGCGGCAGAAACTTTAAACCAGTTTTCCTAATAGCTAATCATTACAGTCTAGTCAACCTATCCCCAATATTTTGTCAAGGTTGCCAGCTGTTAGGTTATACATTACTTTTCGTATCTAAAATTTGTGTTCCCTATTAAGAGTTAGGGTCCAAGAGATAGATGTAGCATTCGGTCATCATTATTGTTTCATAACTGAGATTTTAAGACTATTACCTTAGTTAGCCTCTGTCTTATCTCTCAACTTTTTCATGGAAGCCACCCACTACAACCGTATCTATCTTTTTGAGGGGGCTAGAATATATCTTCAATTAAACAAAACTGCGGGTAGTAAATGGGTGGGTAGGGACTACAAAGAGGTATTTATTTTGATCAGCGAATTCTTATTTTTTTTATTGTTTCTTTCGATCAAGTAGCGACCGGGTGACTTTTAATTGGAATCCAGTCAAAAGTATGTGTTTAACTCAAATAGGACGTTGATAATGCTCTCTCCATGAACTTGAATCTTGAGCACGAGCTACAGAGTAAAACAAATTCAAGATATTGAAAAGTAATCAGCTGCGAAAGATAAGGATCTCTTTACAAACAACAAGCAATCCAGTTGGCGGAGATAAGGTGAGAAAGAAGGGATACTGGAAGTATGCTAACAGTTGCTACTTTACCGTTGTGCTCTGAGTGTAGAAAATTGCTTCCCTCTAAAGTTGCTGGACGAGAAAGCTGCTGATTTTTGCCTGGCTCACGGGATCTCTAACTGAGTTTGATGGTGCACTCCCTTTTCAAAGTGTTGGGATTTGACTGCCTCCAACTTTTGTTTTATAAGATATTTCCCCGATGAAAATACCTCATTGACGTGATTTACTTTCAGTCAACAGCACGACTAACCTCTTTGATTTACACTATAATGATAGTTGTTTCTAAGTGTGTCACTATTCAACTAATCTTCTTGTATAACAGGGCTTCAAAAAATATTTTCCTAGCCATGACTACTGGCTGAGTTATTACAAAATTTAAACCTCACCGTTACACCAAGGTAGCTGTTGTCAGTTAGAATAATAAAGTGGTGTTGATAATTACATGATTACCACAACTTACAGTATAAATTATCTGATTAGATTGTGTATATTCTGAAAGAGTGATTAATGGAGAATGAAGAAGAGTGATTGGAAAAATAAATGGAACATCTGATTTAGAACCACTTGACAATGCAGGACACTTCCAGAATTCAGAGTTTTGCATAACTTCTCTATTCGAAAAACTCTTTGAATTATCTGCGCTCGGTTGTATACTAGGCCAGGTACAATTTGGATTCCAGAACATTGGTAAGAAAGTGTTTTGCAGTGGTGGATTTATTTCATTATTAGACTTTGAAGCTGGCTAAAAGAGGAATGAAACATATTGTGTATCTAAGTAATATGAAGCTTCAAAAGGTTCAATTCAAACAACTGCCTGTCCCTTCCACCAAAACAGTTATTCTATCTTAGTACAGATATAATTTATTTAACCTTATGGAATTATATATATATATATATATATATATATATATATATATATATATATATATTATGCACCCACGGACTGATCGAAGAACCATTTGGTCTGTCTTCGATATTGATATCCTGAAGCTTTAGTTGAAAGCTATTATTTATGAGGTAACGATCACTTCCCAGTGATATGTCATAAATGATTTTCGTGCCGCGCTGTGAATCAACAGAAACAAGAAGCATGAACCACTGGATCCCAACTAACGAGCTGAATGGCAGCAAGTTAGCCAGGGAACGTGAGCATTCTTAGCTTGATCCCTGATGCGGCTGATGTTAGTTTTCAATGAAAGCTGCTTTTATACCATTGATTCTACACATCGTTATTAAAAATCAAGTACATTTTGCCTAAGAAGTTCTGTCACTGGACTACATATTCTACCACAGACTATTTCATTCCATTCATAAACTTCAACATCAGTGTCAACATTGTTGTTAGTTCCGTTTGTCATATTCCATTCGGTGCATGTCTCAATTAAGATCAATAATACTCGTGTGATTCAAATGACGAGTGATTTTGAAGGCCATTCTAGCAACTGATGAGATAAGCAATTACATTCCTCTATTTTATGGAAAGTATTCTCTCAGGCAAAATATTGAAGCCTGATTGACCATTTCAGCAGTTGCTACAGTGGCTTTAAAGTCACTCTAGATGACCGACACTTAAAATCCCTTTACTTTGACTTGTTTAATTTAATTAAAAATTCCAAATCAGCGGTGATAAGAATCTTTGAATGCATAAAAAATTAACAAGTACCCAATTTTTTTGTAAAAGAAAATATTCGAGAGTGGATATTGTGCAAGTGCAGATATAAGACATTAAAATGCTGCAGTTCCTCGAAATGGTTACGAAAGTTTTTTTGACGAATTCTTACACAAGACTACACACAAACGACAATGATCGAGAGTTTTCAAACCAAACTATTTCATGCTTTGGATTCAAATAGCTTTTATCAATACAATAGCCATGAAAAATAAATGTCCACGGAAAAAAAAGGCACTGGAAATAATAGGTAACTTGAAAGGCCCTGTTGAAATTTACCCTATGAGCTTGAGGCTTCGTAAAAGAAACTGTACATGCAGGTGTAGATTGTATTTTTACTCACAATCTTTCATGAATGAGAATAAATTTTGGAAACTGCTGAAAATACCTGTGCCAGCCAATCTTATATAGATAAGTAAGTGCACCATTTTCAAAATGACAAGTCTACTTAGACGTTTAGATATAATCTATAGTACTGATAGCAATAAGCCTATAACTTTGAGCTGCTATCAAATAACTAACGCAAATGTGAGAAATGTCAGTTGATCGAAAAAGAATTACCATTTGCAATAATACCTGTGAAGTTGACATAGAAATATGCCTCTTGCCACTAACTGATAAGTTGTTATGGTATGTGACTGTCGGAAAATCAGGCGTATAAATGCATGAGTCAAGCATTGGCAAGTTACTTAAATCAGAATTTGTTCATTTATGCTCACTTCAGCAGCGTAATTTTGTCCAGCCATTTCTGGACAGTCTGCGAGTTAACAAGAATCTGGTTCATCTGCTTATGATAACTGGATGCACATAAAGTATTCGGTTGCTGGAAAGTGATCTTGCCTCCTGGGTTTAAACTGCTAACGATTGACAGTGGTGATGAAGATGATAATGGTGAAGTAACTGAATTTGACGGCGCAATACATAAATAACTTAATGACATACTTTTATGTGAACCAGGTAAATGATCATACAGACCAGACTTGTCGGAATAGCTTTTAAGCTGCTTTATATCGTTAGCTTTGGTGGTTGTATTATCAGGTAACTCTTTGGTCTGTGATTTTTTCGCATTCATTTTCTTTAGATTACTTCGGCGAGGTTTCAGTTGAGCTCGTATTTTCAGCTTGATTTGGCGTGAGTTGAACTGATGAAACGCCTTTTTGTATGCTTTTTCAATTCAATCTAAATGTTCTTTTGACTGTTGGGTAATTAGAAGACGGTGATCAAGCAACTCTTGACTAAGGTTCCTTACAAAACACAGAAAAATTGAATAACCTTGAAATAAATCTTAAAACACTTAGTGTAGCATAAATTCAGTGTAACCTTGACAATGAATCAGTTTCTGATCTTTTGAATAAGTAACTGTTGTAAAAACAAGCCTGAGTTATTACTACCACATAAAAAAGACGTAAGAATATAGAAGAAGCTCCTAGGTGGTGTAAGTAAACTTGCACCATGAATTGCTAAGTTCTGATATTATTGAAGTGAAAGCCAGAACCGTGTATTCAAAAGCGAATTTTCCATTCATTTTTTTCATTCACTTCTTAGTATATACAGTCATGAGACGGCTAAATCTTTTTGTATTTTTCGTTTTGATTCATGTCACCTGTTATTCCATAAAATTCCTATTAGGTAAAACCCTAATTTGAATTCTATTTTCTTTCTCACTGAAAGTCATTTAACTATTCTATTACCTAATCTTCACATGTTAGTGTCAACTCAAGCATATTTTCAGCAGCTACTTAAGTAGCAAATTTCTTTCCTACATTATTATGCTGGATACAACTTAAAAGTTGTAGATATCTACTTCGGTATTTTAGAATTCCTCCAACATATAATTTAAATTTTCTTCAATCCATTTTTTTAGTCCCCAAAGTGTAAATTAAGGGGCAATGAATAATCTGAAAGTGGCTCTTTTCCATAAAAACAAAATAATGAATACTGTAGCTTTGAAGCTTTTGCTACTGAATACAATGAACTTAACTCGTGCTGAAAACAAGCAGAACGACAAACGAATTCCACTTGTATGCACTAAAGTACTTATGGTAGGTCTCATCTTGTAAACAGAGTTTTATTCACCTTTTAATACCCCTCAGCGAGTGGGTAACCTACTTATATATCCAAAACATTAGTCACATTTTAAGATGAATATGGAAGCCGAATGTCTATTAACAAATATTATAATGAGTCCTTGGAAGTAATCCCCTAGTCTCGGATCTGGGTTTTTAAATACTCATTACTAATGGGTATTCCCTGTTTCGCGGAAAGTAATACTATTCTAGAGATTTCTAAGTGCATTTCTTGAGCCCTCAGTTGATGAATTTACCTGTAGGCTACATGGGCTATATGGTTTTCTGCAGAATCCAATCTAATAAGTTATTCGTTACCTGGTTGTGAGAATCAAGTCAAGAATGAGAGTTGGATAGGATGATATCACGAGTATGTGATAGATAAGTAAATCAACATTTAACCCTAACACTGCACACTTATAATTGCGAGAAAAAGATAAGTTATTGTAATAGGTTGAGAATTGGAATTTGGTTTTTTAGCCAGTTTGGTCATTACCTATCTTAACATTAGTTACTTCTAATTTGAAATGTAACGCCAGTCCACTGAGTTATTGACAGCTGGTTTGAGTGGTTTACGAAAATGAAGGTTACCTATCCAGTGAAATAACTTGAAATTGGTCACGATGACTTAAATATACCTACTACTATCTTGGAAAGAAAAATTGGTAAAGGATAATTCCCAGATACTTGTGAGTCCGGTATAATTGCAAGCATAACGGAAGAATACACAAGTTATATCTCACTGTTTTTTCTCTCTTTCCATTCACACAATCATTTTATTGGGTTTTCACTGGTGCTGTTGAGAAATGATACTACGAAGCATCTTTCAGACCTATTGAGGCACAGAACAAATGATACACTTTTTCACCTGTGAAAGATTCATTTTTTCATTGAGTTAGTAGAGGAAGTCTTTCTGTCAACAAATATTATCTGTCAGAACTACTCAAAACTGTAGGAAACGTTTTGCGGTAAAAATAAGCTAAACGTCAAAAGTTATCTTAAACATAGTAAATTGATGCAATAAATTTTGAACCATTTGAACACATTATCTTATCCACTTATTCGTACCCAGTCACTCAATGGACTTGAAAGTTTACTCAACTATGGGAAATTTCACCATTGACTATGCAGTTTGCAAATAATTCGCAAATTGATCACCTTGCTTAAGGCGCACCGGTCTATCCAAGTCAGGTAGGTATATCCAGTTGATCTGAACTATTTGGCTATGTCAGCTGAATCCTTTTAGGTACACGATTGATCATCTCGGTTTCAAACTAGCAACACTGCCATCTGGTGTTCAGATAACTCTCATTTAGCTAGCAAAATCCACAGATCAGTGTGAATGATTTCTTACTAATCATATTGTTTGATAGTATATTTCGCTACGCAGTACATTGCTTTCCCACCTATGTCAAGGTTTATTGGGAGCTTGATTTTAGGTGAATACGCAGAAATTGCTTCTTAACTTCCATATTCTAGAACCAATCTAAACTTAGTAAATTAAGTGACCGGCAAGAAGTTTGATTGTACAATACTCTGGAAAATATCATCAAGGCTTAAAGTAAATCTCTACCTGTGGGATATCAAGCTTTAACAGCGATGAGAAGTGTCAGAGCATATAAAAGTAATTGCTAACTTGAAATCACTTGAAAAGTATTCACTTAGTTCTCAGATAGACTGACATACTTAACCGACTTATACTGTTTTTTGTATGAGTTATTCGATCAAGTAACTTGCAGCATAAGAGGAAGAGTTGTTTCTTACGATAGTATAGAGGTATAGCTGTAATCTGCTTTTTATAAGTTTTCATAGGATACAACGTCTAATATTATTCAATAATAAGCACAGCGGGTTTTTGACCTTTATTTATATTCAAGCGACTGTACGTCATCTCTGTTGTTTTGCACTAGTGTTAGAATAAAGCTAAGTCTTAAAAATATGTCATATGTTTTCTGAGTATTGTGCCCTCAGTGACTGAAATGAAATAAATATTCGCTGCTGACGCTATTGTCTATTGACAGGGATACCAAAGGTATCACATAATTAAATGCCCACACCGAAGACTAAGAGCTAGATACTTTGGCATGAGAATTTCAAAATTCGCAGTATAACAGACCTTAGAAATGGTGACAATTACTTATAGTTCAGGTTGTGTTGTTTTCTAGATTTTTGTTTCAGCAAGTGAATGTTCCACTGTCATGCCGAACATTGCCAATAATACAACTACACAGATAGAACCAACTTAATCTGAACACGATTTCTTTTCTACTACGTTTTTGGTAGACCGCATATAATATCTTGATGCGTAGAAAAATAATCCATTTTGTCATTTTGAAACATTAAATATGGATCATATTTCCTATAAATTTAAACTTATTTCCGGATTTTATCGTGTCAAACCTACTAGATCTCAAAGTCAACAGAAACCAAATAAGATCATACAGCTTTAATAAATGAAGTTATCGAAGATGAAATTTCCTTTGCTGAGTTGTCTTTCATCTTTCCTATAAAATGAAATATCTGGAAAAAAAACCATCGAATGTTGGTCTGCATATTGTACCACTTTTATGATTACTCATATTTGTGTTCAATAGGCATAAAATACAGTGGAATATAGTCTAAAATTTAAAATATAACTTTAGTTTCCTGTGTATTAATTGAAGTTTTGTATGCAATTTTAAAATGTACAAGGTAACTTACTCTCAAATCGAGTGCCTCTTCTGAAGTGTCCATCTCTGAATAGAAAATAGTAAGCATTGTAAAGAAGAACGATTGTAACGTGATAATGGACATTTCATGCTTAAGCTCAAAATAATGTTTTGATTCTACTGACCTGGGTTAGGAAGTCATTTGATAAAGACATTAAGAAGTGTGATCTGAAAACTGATTCATTGTAACTTTTTGAGTTGAGTAAGGGATTAAATGCAACTTAAGCCAGAGTAATCCTTATTTCGGTGTAAACAATAAGAATAGAAAACATTTTTCAATACATAAAGAGTAAACCATTATAATATGGCCAGGTTATTTATTGGTTCTGATACTAGTAACACACTTTCCTAATATCGTATATAAGGTAACAAGAAAAAATATATATCAAAAGCGATACTTGCTGGATGTTGTTAGTTAATTGGCAAGAAGTCCTGAACCTAGGGTTTCATGTTTTCTGACAGTCATTAGCAAGATGTATCTGTGACCAGGTGTTTCTTTCATTATTGAACAAGCTTTACTTAGTGTCGAAGTCGTCAACTTTACAACTAAGCTGTTTAGACCACGACTGACCCCCTGTAGAACTGAATTATATATACAGATTTGTCATCTGTAGTTAACTGATGTGGCTGTTTAATCCTAAGTGCTCAGCACTGATCAAAGTCTATCGATCAAGTTTTGTAATATGGCCACAAAGCGATAAGTTTTACCAGAGAGTCTACTATAGTATCTCATAAAATTCGCGGTTAAAAGAAGGATATTTATTATAGTTATTTCAGGGTTTAAATTATTTATTGATAAAGTAACCTTTAAACATAAGTACAAGGATTGTTGACTACCAAGTCAAACACACCTACTTAGTATTTTAAATAAAAGCTCATTGATTCCAGTTCTCAGATTTCAATGTAGTGCAAAGAGAGGAAATCAATGGAAGTAGAAAAAAAATACTCAACAGACCAAATTTGAGACAAAACAAAGCTTTTTTAAACCGGTGGGAACTGGTGGTCAACCATTCACATTGTTTATCAGGTCAAGGATTTGAGTGAGAGAAAGATTTTCGTATAAGTTGCCAATACAGAGTAACTTTGGAAAGGTTTCACATGAAGAACTGTATTCCCTATAGTGAGCTCAAAGGAAGGAAGGAAGGCTATGGTAACCCATTAATGTTGTTCTTGCCTTCTGCTATCCTTTTTGTCTATTTGACTCAGACACGTGTGAAAAAACTACACTTGGTTGTCATACAACAATGCGTATAAGTTAGTCAGTCAACAGATCCGCTCAAGCGTCAGTACTTATTATTGATTTTCTCTATAGAAGCGTTAAGTCATGGATAAAAATTTAATTTTCATAACTTTCTCAACTTTTAATAGTGTTCCACTCAAGCTATGAATCAAGGCCGGATATGAAAAAGTCTGACAATAGTTATTTAGTTGATCCCACATGTTTTGAGGGTCAGCATAACCTTCTAGCCAGACAGCAGGTATATCTTTTAATAATAGATTCATATACTATTACTATTCTAGTATCAGTCTTGGCAATGATTAAAAGTCTCAAATCCACCATCAACTCCAGTCCCCTCTAAGCCTTTTTTTCGTACATACTTATGACATATTTTTCAAAATTCATGCCGAAATTATGTTTCTAAGCCTGAATTCATTATCGTCATGTCAGCAGTTATCCAATCAACCAATTTTTAGTGTCGAACATGCAAATATTACGTTTCGCAAGTGCTAATAACCAGCAAATCCATTTTAACAATAGGCGTACTGGACAATGGTACTTCATTTTATCCTTTTAAAGTTAGGAACTGATTGATATCTAGGTGAATGCAGAATTTTACTTCACGCGTATTTTGATGCGCATAGTACCATCTTAATTGTAAAAAAACGATACATCAGTAAATGAACAGGAATGATGAAAATAGAAAGCGACTAGGATCAATATCATGTTGAATAGCAGATACACATCTAAAATGAAAACTGACTTCAAAAACTCAATGCAAGAAGGTGAAATATAGTCAATTCCTAGAACATACTAAGCTATGCTTACCAAATATTTTGCATGTAAACTAAACGACAAATTTTTTTCAACAGGTTTCTAGTATCTAACATATGTGAGAACTGGGAAATATGACGAAGATAAAACTAGTGTAAATAACTCCAATGAGAAGCAGTTACATAAAAATAAGGCGGCGTAGCCAAGACAACAAACACGGCAATAAGAGCAGATGAAATATCGTTATCGGGATTGTAAGTATTCACCAATTCACATTCGTCTCACACACCAGTGACCCAATGTATACTTTGATAAATAGAAATCAAAATATGTTAACTTTTAAATATTTCATGCATCCCTCTTGAGGGATTCATAAACTCATAAAAAAGCCAACTACCTAGGCTGGAATGTGGAATTCGTTCAACGCCAGTGAACTCAGAAGGATAACAATGTACAAATATCAGAAACTTACCATCTTCATCTCACATGTCTTGTAATCATGTCGCTCCTTTTTTTCAACCCACTTCTAATTTAATGGGGTATTACGTAGAAACAATAAAATGTCTTAGTTACATCAAATTAAAAAACAAATTTTCTTGACCTAGTTGGTATTCGCAACATTTTCAACGTGCAAACAAATGTATGAAAATGTACTTTAAAAACAATATATAAGGGCTTGTACAGACCTTAGTAGATGGACGACGTTTAGGATGCAAAAGAGGTTTAAATTCATCTCCCAATCATGATGAAAGGGGGAAAGGATCAGCCCACTCTGAATGAGAGAACCACTTTTAAACATAACTGGGCAGCCCGATAGCTAAAAATCAAAGTCTGGTTGATACTTATCTCTGATTGGTTATTGAAAGTTGTGCGTTACGTGGGTTGTTGATTCAAGTTCGATTTTCTTCCAATGGATTTCGAGTATTCCCAGAGTCACAAAATGAAGACCGGCGAATAAATTTGCTTTAGGTGATATTATTCTCAGGAGCCGTACAACCAAATTTAAGTAATTATTAGTGTCATAGTCATAAGAACATCAATATTTGTCGATCAGTAATTTGAAATGCAGAAAACAAAGATAGTTAGTCAGTTTTAAGAATTTATGTTGATAAGTGAATAGGAAAAGCGAGTGGAAAACTTGCTGTTGGACACACAATCCTGACTTCCACTTTCGTATTGGTTGAGCTTCAGCAATGCATAACAGACGTTTACTTTAAGGACTTCTAGTCGGTTCTGTAAGCTGCATGAAATGATTGTTTTGAAATGTGTTCACTGTCAGTTAAGTGTTGCAGAACGGAACTTCTGATTGATCAAAATTCATTTTGCTGTGCCATCTTGCAGTGGAAAACTGCTGAACAGTGATGGAAGTAAAATTAGTTCCTATCATGGTGTAAGCAGTTTAACGCTATAATGAGAGTCAGAGGGCGAAGTCATACCACTCAGTGTACAGGGTGTGACATCAATAAAGGGTTTCTCCAGGATAGCTAGCATCCCATTATGTTTATGCTTTCCTTTGCTCAAAACGAAGGCAAGAAAGTGTTAAACCCAAGAGCATAATTCCTTCTACCACCAAGGACTCCCAATTATGATAATATGGGTTTTTCTAGTCTGGGTGTAGCATAGCCAAGTCTAGATCGAAAACTTTTCAAAAGGCTTTGTATGACTGACCTCTGTCAGTTGTTTCTTGAGCTCTGTAGTACGTGGAGCTAATTTTTTTCTTCTTACTGGTAGCCCATGAAGGTACAAGCTTCTATGGTGTAAGAGACAGCGAAGTACCAACTACTTGCAGATTTCTAGTGATATATAAAACCCAACTAACATAATAGTAAAACTTCGGCACTGTGACTGAATGTAATTCCATTTTAGATGATTAATTAGAGGTATCATATGGTGGAACAGTATTGTTTACTAGATTACGTTCGGACATAGTTTATTGTCCATAGTCACACCAAGATAACTACACAATTTTGAGACATGCATCATACAGTCCTAATTTCCTCGCCTCCTTTGTGATATGAGTAGTAGGGTCTTCCATATATCCAGAACAGGTGGAGATTCATTCCTGTTGTATGCATTAGGTGTTGATTAGATAGAAAAAGATTTAGTTATCAATCTTCCCCTACACTCCGCTATATTAGTTCTAAGGATTTTGTGTGGATGTGTGTAGTTGCACGCAAACCTATAACGGAGCTTTTTTCTAAATTCCTTATCTTACTAGGACCTACCGTAGGAAGTTATTAAAAGAGAGGGGATAAAGCAATGATGAAATTTGATATAATGAATGCAGTGAGGATGATATGAAGGTAAGTTCGCACCACTGAGACAGCTGCTGAGTCAAATAAAATAGAGTCTTCAACTATCAGTTTAACTTGTGACATCAACCTCAACCTTGAAGTCTGCATTATTCTACAGGGCTCACACCAGCAGTCAGAGATTGCGTGAACTAAGGGGATTTCAAGTTTGGCTGTCATTAACCTTTTTCTGACCTAAACTCTCTTCATATGTTAGTCAAACTAAAATCTCTTTATTCCTTACTTTGTGTTTACCTGCCTCTTGGACATTTGGTAAATTGGGATCATATTTTCAACGGGTCAGCTGCTTTTTTTAGAAATTTTTTGTGATAATAAATCTTGAGCATGAATTCGAGGGAATTCAGTGCATCGATAGAATTTTTTTATTGCACGCGAATCTACAGGTTTTAATTTATCCACCCTCTAACACTGCAAACCATTCAGACAGTTCACAAAATAAAATGGAAATGACTCAAAAATCATCTTTAGTGTTCTGGACACATTTATAATTGATGAACAAATTTTAACCGAAATACATAAGAAGCTTTTTTGTACGTTAAAAGTGAGCGCCTATTAAGCTAAGACCTCGAAACAAAGTGAAATAAATCTTACTTCCTTCCTAAGTTGTGTCACTGAAGAATTTACGTGTCCGAATGAGTACAAACTTGAAATGAGGTTTGGAAATTCACTAGAAACTTGTAGTTCAATGGACATCCAAAAGATGAAATTTTGAGGAACAGTCTGAAAGATGAATTTTTCAATACAAGCCTTTCAGTCGACTACTATCTATCAGTACTGTGTTTGTCCATCAGGGACAATTTAGTGTTTCTTTCAAATCAGTGTACATGCATAACTCCAGTAACTTCTAGCTGATTGTTAACATAGACTGATTTTTGAAGGATACCGGTTTTACACTCAAACTAAACTCACAGTGGTACTTAGAAAACAAAAACATTGACAAAATTCTAAATCCTGCAAAGTTTTTGTAATTTGAATTTTATCACAACATTATTTATTATTATTATTAGTCCCTTGGGTTCCTAGTGGAACATAGGGCTTCAGTAGCACGCCTCCAGTGACCTCTGTTCTCTGAGATCTTTTGAACCTGGTCCCACGACAGCCCACAAGCTCTCATTTCCTCCTCGCACGACCTCCTCCATGTCACCCTCGGACGTCCAACTCGTCGCTTCCCATGGGGATTCCACTCGAGGGCCTGACGCGTGATGTCCTCAGTCGGCCTTCTCAGTGCATGGCCAATCCATCTCCACTTCTTCCTGCATATTTGTTGCGTGATAGGTTCTTGGTTGGTTCGTTCCCAGAGTTCCTTGTTGCTTATTTTTTCTGGCCATCTGATCTTCAGCAGCGAGCGTAAGCAGTTGTTGATGAATGTCTGTAGTTTATTGGAAATACCTTTCGTGACGCGCCAAGTCTCTGAGCCATACAAGAGCACTGACTTGACGTTGGTGTTGAAAATCCGTATCTTGTTCCGCATGCTGAGTGCAGAAGATCTCCACACTGGTTTCAGGCTAATGAATGCCTGTCTTGCTTTTCCGATTCTGACTTTGACGTCCTCGTCCGTCCCGCCTGTAGTTGAAACAGTGCTTCCTAGATAAGTGAAGGAGGTTACTTCCTTTAAGTTTCTCCCGTTGACAGTGATTGGAGTTTGTTGTTGTTGTTGTTGATGGTGGTGGTGCGGTATCTTCATCACTTCTGTCTTCTCTATATTCACCTGAAGTCCCGTCTTCGCTGCCTCTTCTATCAACTTGTTAGTTTTTGCCTGCAGATCTTCAAGTTTATGTGACATTAGGCATAAGTCATCGGCGAAATCCAAGTCTTCTAGGTTCTTTTCCGTCGTCCAGTGTATCCCCCTCTTCTCGCTGCCTACTGTTTGCTGCATGATCCAGTCCACCACAATCAAGAATATCATGGGGGATAGTAGGCAACCTTGTTTCACTCCTGTCTTCACTTCAAAGGCATCACTGAGCTTCCCATTGTGGATTACTTGGCATGTGGCATCTTCATATAGTTGTTGAATGAGGCGGATAAAGGTTTGCGGTACTCCGTAGTATTGAAGCAGTTTCCAAATTACTTCTCGGTCGACGCTGTCAAAGGCCTTCTCAAAGTCGATGAAGTTGAGGTGGAGAGGTGATTGCCATTCTATGCTCTGTTCTATGATGATACGAAGCGTTGCAATTTGGTCTGCACATGATTTGTACTTCCTGAAGCCTGCCTGTTCCGGTCGCAGTTTTGAATCCAGTGCATCTTTAAGCCTCTCCAGGATGATGCGGCTTAATATTTTACTTGGGGTGGACAGGAGAGTGATTCCGCGCCAGTTCTTGCAAGCACTGAGGTCTCCCTTCTTCGGCAGTTTGACAAGGTAACCCTTCTTCCAATCGTCAGGTACCTTCTCTTCCTTCCACACCTTCTGCAATAGTGGTGTGAGCATGCCGCTGTTGTCTCTGCATCTGTTTTCAGTGCTTCTGGCGGTATTCCATCTGGTCCTGCTGCTTTCCCGCATTTCAGTAGCTTTATGGCGTTCAGGACTTCCATTTTCGTTGGGGGATTAATGTTCACTTGTAGTTCAGCGGCTGCAGGTGGTATTTCTGGACGAAGTGCAGGTGGTGGTCGATTCAAGAGCTTCTTGAAGTGGTCGGCCCATCGTTTCCTCTGTTTCTCTTCTTTTGTAATTAAATTTCCTTCTTCATCTTTTATTGGTTTCATCTGTGTTGGTCTCTTCCCTGATAGCAACCTGGTTATTTGATACAATGTCGTCAGGTCTCTCTTACCTGCAGCCTGTTCTGCTTCACTTGCCAGTGTTTCGTAGAAGTGTCTTTTGTCTTTGCGTGCACTCTTCTTCACTTCTTTGTCCAGTGTTTTATACATTGTGCTCAGTTCCTCTTGTCGTTGAGCATCCTTGCACTGGTTTATCTTCTGCTTCACCATCCTCCTCTCCTCTATCAGCTTCCAGGTATCCGTCGAGATCCATTCCTTGTCTTCTTTCTTCTTCCTTCCTAATACTGTTGTGCAGGTTTCTTTCCACATAGCTTTCAAAGACTTCCAGTGTTCTTCCACACAGGTTTCTTCAGGGATGTTGCTCGATGTCTCCCATTTTGTCTTGATGGCTGCCTTGAAGATCTCCTTTGTAGTTTCATCCTTCAGTTTCCGAGTGTTGTACTTGGGTTGAGGTCTATCACCAGCTTCCTTGAAGGCTTTTAACTTGATTTGGAAGGTTCCTTGCACTAGATAGTGGTCTGAACCTACATCTGCTCCTCTTCTTGACCTTGTGTTAAGTAGACTGCGTCTCCATTTTCTTGAGATTGAGATAAAGTCGATTTGATTTTTAGTGTGTCCATCTGGTGAAATCCATGTCGCTTTGTGGATATCTTTGTGCCTGAACACACTGCCTCCAATCACCAAATCGTTGAATGCGCAGAATTCTGCA